GGTACAATTTGGGTTAAGTAAGACCCAAAGGTTATTCCAACAAATTACCGGCCTCTGTTTACATGTAACTTTTAATGAAAGGAGTTGACTGTGACTTCCATTCACTGGTCTTATGCTGCCCCCATTCATTGTAATTTCATGAGACCCCCACCCCATTCACTACTCTGTGTGGCTCTCATCCATTAGTTTTATGCACTCTTTATTCAGTCACCACTTGTAGATTTTTCAGGGTCTACTGTCTTCTTAAGTTGAAAAGTTTTTCCTACGGGGAAGACCAAAACATATCCCTAAGTGTCTGGCTACATGTGCCCTATATGGCCCCATCAAGAGAAACAGTGTTAGCTTCCTGTTCTCTGAACCAGTGCCTGGCTAGAGTTGTCCAGACACTTGCCCCTTCTTGATGGAATGGGTCTCCAAACACAGTTTTATGGATTGTGAAAATGTACTACTGAGTGGGAGCCTGTGGTTTCCACGATGTGGTCTTGTTGCCTCCATGAAAGAGACTGAGTTGCTACAGAAGAGGCCGTTCACTTCTCACTCATCTTCAAGAGGATTTGGTGAATAATTGGAACTATGCAAATTAGCACACACCGCATGCATAGGGAATTGAAATTGTTCCCGAACAGACCTGCTGACAGGCTCATAGGCTTACGGGTCCTTCCCAATAAGCTGAGTCTGGAGTGTTGCTCATCTGCATCTATCTCTCTTTCTCCCTCCTTCCCTCTCCTCCTTCTCTCTGTCTCTATTATCTCTCTCCTTACCTCCTTCCCTCCCTCTCTCTGTCTTTTCTTCCCTCTTTTCTCCCCTCCTTCCTAGTGGTCAGTACCCAATTGTCACCTCACTGTGCATATCTTCACATGCACAGGATGACACCTGCCTCCAACAGGTCAGCTCTCGCCTATTCAGACAGCCACCTCCATGCCTGGACCCTGGAGGATATCTATCAGGTGACCTACAGCTTGGGCAGAGACACCCATCACCAAGCTTCTCCCCCTTCCCTCTCCCCTGCCTGATTTATTTGTTTTCCTTCCTTCCCTCCTTCCTTCCCTCCTTTCTTTCTTTCTTTCTTTTTTTTTTTTTTCTTCTTAACATGAGGACCCCTTTGGCAACCTCATTTTAAAGATGTTTCCATGTTTGCATTTAGACATTCGATTACCTTTGCTCAAAAGCAATTAAGTTCCACCCTTCACCCACTGAGCTGAGGACACCCTGTGAACATCTTTTCTTTTTTAATAAGCGAAGCCATCTTCAAAGGGGCAGGGTCACGTGGATATACCTGAAACATGCTGTGTCTGCAGATTTTAATGAATGATTTTTTTAAAGAAATAATTGTTTAAATCTTCTACCCCTGTAAGTATATTCACACCTAAAAGTTCAGAAAGGTCTGGGTTTTGTTTCTTTTACCATTGAAAGGCATCATTTTATCTGGGTTTTTGTCTTTTCCTAAAGCATTAAAAAAAAAAAAAAAAAAAAAAAAACAATTATCTTGTTGAGTGAGTCACCTTGTCCTGATTTTATAGAATACAGGTATTAGAAACAGATACTTTAGGCTGGAGAGATGTCTTAGTGGCTAAGAGCATGCACCTTTTTGTTGTTGGTTTTGTTTTTGAAACAGGGTTTCTCTGTGACTTTAGAGCCTGTCCTGGAACTCACTCTGTAGATACACCCGCCTCTGCCTCCCGAGGGCTGGGACTAAAGGCATGTGCAACCAATGCCCAGCTAAGAGCACACTTCTTTTCAGAGGACACAAGTTTGGTCCCCGATACTCACACGGAGTTGAGGAGAAAGGATCATAGTAGATTGTGACTCCAGGTGCAGGGGATCTGACACATTTGCATGGCTTGCCAAGTCACCATACTCACATTTGTTACACACACACAGACAACCCTCAGAGCTTCAGTTTAGTGTATGAGGTATGGGTAAAGGCAGAAAGGGCCAAGCCTGGCAATTCTGCTGTGTTTCAAAAAGAGTGGCGTATAATACCAGCCACCATTTTACAGCCCCTTCCTTCCCAGGGTGTCCAGCTGTAGCTGACTAGCACCCATGGGTTTACATCATCTGTACTGCAGGTGAGAGGGAAATGCCTGTTCATTGTTACTCAAGTGTTTGTAATCCTCCTACTAAGGACTTTCTGCTGTGGGGAGTTGTCACAGATGAAATTTAGCCTGCCCCCAGAACCTTCACTGCACTGCATAAGGAAGGCCCAAGGGGAATGCGTGTGCCAAAGAGAGGGACCCTGGGAATGGAACAGTGGTCCTGAGAAAGATATCATGGCACCTTCCATGCCTTCACTCATGTTCCCTTGGCATGGATATGGTTCTCCCCAGGAAGATGAGAGGGAGATGGTGATTGTCATACTTGGCGGTGTGTAAACCTAGCACTCTCCATGGATATAGAGCTCCAACATCCAGTATTGGGCCCCTTTGGGATTCTAGTAACATGGGCTGTACTAGAAGTGAGCCCCAGGGAGCAAGTCACCCGCTGACACATTGTTCCACAGACTTCTCAATTCTTCAGTCCCAAACTTCCCACCCTCGCTCTTCAGTTGTCCCTCAGAAGCTGCTTCTGTGGGCTACAACAAGGATTGCGTGAGAGTAGGTTGTGCACAGCTTCCTCCAAGCCTCTGTGTCATCCCGTTTGCTGAAGGTTCTGGTTATGTGCTTCATTTCTGGGGAACTGTGACCGATACCCCGGTTGGTTGTGTGGCCCCGCCTCCACAATTTCTAAGGGGTTGCTGAGGCTGCCCTTGCTCTCCCCTTCCAGGTCCAGGAGGCTTCCCTGGTCACAGACAGGACTTGGTTCAGCTTTGCGTGTCCAGATCCTAACAGGGTACTTGAACGTTGTCGTGCGAAGTACTGGAAAAGTATTCAATGGAATAAGAAGGATAGATTTAAAACCATATTAATAGAGGGGTGGATTTTTAGTAGAGTAAAAATAAAGTATGCTTTTCTGAGAATAGATCGCTTTGTTCATTCCAGCTCTGCAGACTGCACAAGCTCCATGACGCCTGTGCTTAGCACTTGGCAGGCACGCAGCAAACACTAGTCAGCTACAAATCCTTGGAGTTCGGCATAGATTTAATTCCTCTTTCACACATTATTTCTACACAAATTCATGTCTGTGCTTACTAAGTAGCCTGCACAAGTTTTTGAGAGTGAATGGCCAGGGATCCTCCGACAGGTTGTCACTAGCCTTAAAAAACAAGTGGGACATAAACAGACACCAGATGGCTGGACAGGTTTTGATGTCTGCACAGTTTCTCTCCCTCTACTGGTTCCATCAGGAATTTCAGCTCTGGGAACTTGGACGCCATGGTAGGGGAAAGGAATTGAGCTTCATCTTCCTCGAGGGTGGCTGGCCTAGCCTCTTAGCTCATTGAGTGCTTGATGAGGAAGGTTATTAATGCTTGGGATGAAGCACAATGTTTCACCCAGGAATTCTACTTCTCTGGAGTTGAATTAAGGCAATTAATAATTCCCAATCAATTACTCTGCAGTTTCCTCTAGTGTATGTAAAGTACCGTGGCATTGTTCAGTAACAGAATAGAAAGAGAAAAGGCAGTGTGTGGCAATGTGTCTGCCTGCCTAAGGAGAGCCTGGGCAGCATGGATCCAGTTGAGGGTGTGTGTTCCCAGCAGTCTGACCTCTAACATGGGCTTTACAACCCTGCAGCCTAACTCTGCCCAGTCTCTCACCACACAGGAACCACTGGTTCTCAACCCTGGAGGGTTACTGTGTGCATGACACACATGCAAACAGCAACCTAGAGCAGGTGTGCACTCAAGCACAGAGCTATTTGTGTCTGTGGCTCAAACCAGGAAGATGAGAGGGGCCACATGTACTGGTGGCCAAGACTGATTGTTCTGGGGTAGTTGTTACAATGGGTCTGGCTGGGGTCCTTTCATCTTGGCGGTGCTGCCTGCTGAGAAGCACTGGGTGTTGCCATGGTTCCATCCATGTCTCAGTAATTACAAACATCAGTGCGCCCTATTGGAACACCCTGAGTTCTGAGATCTGGTCCATTCACATCCTGCATTGTGGCTTTGGATAGCAAAATTTCTGTCAATAAGGATGGGAAAGATCCTCTGGGCTAGCTGTGGATGAGGTTCTATGGACAGGACCACATATCTGCACTGAGCAAGTGCCATTACCTGGTCAGGAGCCCTCGAGCAAGGTTTTCTATACCACAGGGGAGGCACCATCACTGCCATCTCTAATGATGAATGAGGGTGATTGGGCAAAATGGGGAGCCAAGTGTGAACCTGAGGTCACTGCCTGTGGGGGTCCTAGGTAGGAAAGAGCTCTCTCTGTGTTGAACTGTCCCCTGCATCCTTTCGACCCATTAAACAGCACCCTCCTGAGGCTGTAAGTGGCTCTGTGGAGTAGGAAGTACATACAGGCAAGGCCGGGAGGGGGCTGTTGAAATGGGTTGGGAGAACAAATAGCGTCTGAATGGAAGAGGGTAGAGAAGGACCCTGAAGCTGGCCTCAAGCTGATTTGCCAAGAGCTCCTGGGCAGATCTGGAAGGAATGAATTTGGCCAACCTAGTGAGAGGGACCCAAAAAGCACACAGGTTGGCACTGGCATTTTTACCCAAAATAGGACACCCACCATAGATACAGCTTGGCCAGCAAGTTGTGGAAGGGAAGTGGGTGAGTAGTGGTACTGGGCGATGCGATATCTGAGGTGGCAAATGACTCATAAAGATGCCTCTTGACCCGCGTGTGGACAGAACTGGAGTCTGGTCCCACCCTACACTGGTTCACCATGTGGGAGTTGTGAGCCATGGGTCCTCAGGTTGAACCTTCAGATGGCAGTGACTGTACCACCACAGTGTGGGGAAGACAAAAGAAACTGTGAGGTCTGTAGGCAGAGTTCTCCATTTCCTTGAAACCTATAATGAGTTTGTCTCTTGTTTCTTCTTCTTCCCTGGTGAGTGACAGCCATGTCCAATGCCTGCTACCCTGGAACATTTCCGAACAAGTCCTTTTCTCTTTACAGGTGTGCCATGGAGCCCTTCTGTCCACTCCTACTGGCAAGTGTTAGCTTGTCACTCGCCAGAGCTGGCAAGGGCAACGACACCACCCCAGCAGAGAGCAACTGGACCAGCACAACTGCGGGTAAGGGCCCCTACCTTGACCCCAGATACTTCTGCTGCTGCTTCACACACTGCCACCTCCTGAGCACTCGGACTGCTAGGGAAGAGGGGTTCAGTGAATCTCCCCGTGTGCAAACTAGGGAGCTGGCTGTGTGCCCATGACCAGAGCCATCTAAGTGTGCTCAGGAGGCTGTCCCGCCTGCTGAGGGGGGCCTCAGCTGTGGTGGAAGAAGGAGAGGGTGAGAACGCCTGAAAGGGCTCAGCAAAATGACTTGGAGACAAAGTGCCCACTGTCAAGACTGACGGCCTGAGTTCAATCCCTGGAACCCATGCAGTGCAAAGGAGAGAACTGACTCCTGCAAGTTGTCCTCTGACCTGTGCACATGCACTGCATTGTATATGTGCCCACACACACACACACACACACACACACACACACACACACACACACACTCTAAATTTAACAATAAATTCTGAAAAGTCTGACTATGTAGACCCTTGTTAGGGGCAGCTGTTACCAAACACTGACAGGTGTGATGGTTTGATGATTTGTTGTGTAACTTTTCCTGAAGAGACATGAGCAAAAATCTGTTTACCCAAGAGAGGACCATAGACCTAAGATATGACTGCACCCATGCCTACCCGTAATTTTCTTAGGGTTACATATGGAAACATGAGTGACTCAGGGGCAGTTACTTCACTGAAAAACCCACCCCCACCTGAGTAACAGCTCATGAAAACTGTGTCATTGCAGTCTTCTGTGCAACTTGTAGGCAATTTCACTGAAGAGTCCCTCCACCTTAACTGCACCCCCAGCAATTTGTCTATGGCTTGTAAAACCTCAGGAAAGGGCCTCCCAGGTCTTACAGCTTTCTTACGTTTTGTGATCTTCCAACTTCCTTTCATGAGAATATGTTTCAACATTGAGGAAATAGCCACACAACAGTGCTAAAATGTGACTAAGAAATTACTGTTATAGTGTTCTGTAATATTGGCATGCGGTGAGGTTTCTCTTTTTAAGAAGAGTCATTATTTTTAGAGACGAATGATGAGTATTCTTGGGAGTGTCATGACTTTCAGAAGACGGAGCTGGAATGGCCCAGGCTGCCCTGTCCTCATGGGAAAGCTAGGACAGATAGGCCCCAGGACAGGGATGAGGGTTTTGTTTGTCGCTTCCCTCACTTCATAGTTTAGAGGAAAAAAGCGCACTGGTGTCCATGTGACATTGTGGAGAAAGCTCAGGGACATTCCCAGTGACACCAGGTGGACACATGATGTAGACTAAGGAAGGGTTCCATTGAGAAGGGATACCCAGAACCTGGAAAGACAAAGAAAATACTCTCATAGAAGTATAGCATAGCCGGAACTGCCTAACCCTGGGCACTTACTCACCATACAGTAAAAACAGGTGCTTTTTCTAACATGGAAATTTCACCAAAGCCAAAGTGAGGCAGAGGACAAGGAAAGGGAGAGAAGACAAGAGGGGTCTGCTTGACTCTCACCGCCTGGGTTCCAATCCTGTCTCAGCACTTGTTAACTGAGTAACCTGGAGGGACTTCCTGAACCCCTCTGTGCCTCCCTGCTCCAACTCATGAGGCCCAGGAGGTAGTAGTCCTGGCTGTTGGTTGGCAGTGCAGTGAATATTGCAGAGACGAGCAGGCTGGTCAGTCTTCGGAACACAGCAGCACCCCTTGGCATTGGCTTTGGCTGCAGTCAGCAGAGATCAAGCTCCAGACTCAGTCATCTGGCCACTCTCTGCAAGTCAAGAATGTTGCTGCCTTAATCCCGCAGTTCCCTTGTTGCGGTTTTTTTATGGATTGTGCTGCACGCAGGGAGAGCTAAGCTCAGGGCAGATGGGTGAGGTCAGGATGAAGGAGCTGACAGGAATTCCCTGCAGCATGCCTTGGTAGTAACATCAGAATAGCAAAGGTTAGCCCCTATCTTGGCACCTGCCTCATGCCCATCCCTCACTACACACTTGCTCCATCCCTGATTGGGTGATGCCTGTCCACACTGGGGCTTTACTCAGTCTATGGATTTCAGTGTTAATCTCATCTAAAAATCCCCTCTGATGGGTGTCTCTAAATGTCTTGACAACTATGCCCTGATCTAGTTTACACATGAGATTCAGCATCATGCACACCCCACACACACACCCCCCCCCCCGGCAAGGCTTAGTAAGGAAAACACAAATTGTCAACATCCTTACAGTAGTACTGTTTAGAAAAAGTCAGTGGAAGTTAGTGTCATCCTAGTGAGTCGGCTTCACCCCACTCAAGGGCTTTACAGGGTTTCCTAACCCTAGATGATGTCCTACAAAGACAGTGATCCCCTGCAGTGGAAGCAAACACCCCATGAGCGCACTGTGGCTGTACTGTCTTCCTCCTTGCCCTGACACCCCAGGGGAAACCCACAACCACAGAAAAAGCAACTCAGATACTGCAGTGCATGCTTCTCTGCAGGTAAATTTCCACAAGCATGTCCTCAACACTGTCCTGTGGCCTAGAAGGTCCCAGACCTGCCCCAAGGACAGTGACCACCTCCTCGAACATTCACTTAAGTCTTCCAATCCATGTCTCTAACTTTCCTCACCAACACCAATCAACTGGCTATTTAGGGACACCTGAAAGACTGTCAACATGTCCCTGTAAATATCTTGAAACCGTGGGTACAGAGCATCCATCTCCCCAAAGCAGCGTTAGGAGTTGTCAGAGTTCCGTGACAGCCCCACAGGTGGTAACTGATTCTCCCTCAGGGTGGCATCACCATTCATGTTTAGGGCTTTCCGGTGCATTTGAAAGTAAGATTTATTGGTTCATAACATCGTCATGGGCAGGAAGTGTTACTTTCAGGAAGAGAGGACTGTCACATGACCTCAGCACCCAGAGCAGAAGCAAATACTGGTTAGGCATACTTAGCAACATCTGTGGTCACACTATCAGGAGCTATGTAGGCCTCAAGTTACAGGACAGCTCCTTTGTCCTGGATCTTGAGAGGGCACCCCAAGTGCTTTTAAAAGGGGAGACCCCTGAAAAAGTACTAAGTATCTCTTGACAGTTAGTACATTGCCAGAATGTGCCAGAACAACAGGAAATTACTTCCTTTCATCATTGGCCAAAATGAATTCAATATTCATCATGACTCATTTTCTCAGACAAAGATTTCATTATAAATATGTAAAAATTGTAAGGAAATACTATCATCCATAATACACATAGGAAGAATCCTTTAAAATTAACATGTAAAGAACACTGTAGGAAAATAGATTCTACTCTGGTTTGCCTTGCTACTGCTATGATAAAAAAAAAAAAAAAATGACCAAAATCACCCAGGGAGGCAAGGGTTTATTTGGCTTATACATCTCGATCATGGTTTGTCATAAAGGGAAGTCAGGCAGGGGCTCAAATGGGAACTAAAGCAGAAACCAAGGAGGAACACTGCATGCTGGCTCACTCACTGGCTCATGCTCAAGACCGCCTACTTAGGGATGGTGCTACCTACAGTGGTCTGAGGTCTCCGACATCAACTGATAATCAATAAAATGCTGCAAGTCCATCTGAATGAGGAATCCTCCAGATAATTCTGGCCTGTGTCAAGCCGACAGCTGAAGCTATTAGGAGACGTCAAACACAACCAAGAAAGAATCAAAGTAGCTAATTAATTCCATTTTAATCATCATGCAAAGGAGCCGAACTCTAGAAATGATAGAAAATGGAGCTAAAATGCTGTGTGTTCTTGCCTAACTAAAACTGGAAGGATCATTAGTGTCTAGGAGAAAGTGGCTTCCTCATAAACCTCAGGTGAGCACGGATGTCAGATGCTTTGAGGATCATCTGACATTTTCTATTGTTGTTTGATGGTGTGTGTAGTAGACACAAGGGTCCACTTTTAGGAAATGCCATACAGAAACCTTGGTGAGACAAAGTGCATAAGTTAGGTGCTGGAGAGAGGGCTCAGTGGTTAAGAGCTTTTCCAGAGGACCCGAGTTCAGTTCCCAGCATCCACATGGCTCTTCTCAACTGACTGAAACTTCAGCTCCAGGAGATCACACACCCTCGTCTGGCCTACACAGCACTTGCACACTCATGGTACAAACACACAGAGACAGACACACATGCATGCACATAAATAGAAGTAAATCTCTCTTTTTAAGTATAGGAGTGTAGAGAATAGCAAAGTAGGAAATAGCCTCAAATACCCTTGTGATCTGGGCCCATCCGAAACGTAGGACTGCAAGCAACTAGAACACAGAATGAAGAGGCTCACCTAGCATGGCAGCTCTCCAGGGCCAATGAGAGTATGAACTGGGGACCTGCTCAGAGTGTGTTTCATCTGGTTGCTTCATACATAGCTTAGTGTTCGGATGTGTCAAGCAAATGATTCTGCATAATCATTAGTTTGGAGTTTTTCTTTCCCTAACAATTCATAAAATAACAGTACTTCTTGCAACCAATGTGATTTTGGATGACAGGAGGGAGTAGTGAGTCTGTTTATCTATCAAACCTGCATGTTTAAGAACGTAGCTTGATAAGAGAAAATGTAAAGGAAGATGCATTCACAACTTCATGTCAGGGAAACAAAGCAGCTGGACCATGTGCTTACTGTGTCTATACCACTTAGAATGTTTATCCCAGGCCCCTGGTGCATGAAGCTTTATGGACTAGCATCCAGAAACATCTCCAGTCCAGTCCCCCAGGGGCTGTGTTGTCTCTTCCCAGAGCACAGCTGACCACTGTGCTCCCTGTCTTTCCTTCACTCCCCTTCCTCCCTTACTCCAATGTTACCTCCCCACTGGTGACCCCTGGAGATGTAGAATGCCCCCCTCATTGAGGAGTACTGTCTGTTGCAGATTGGTGCAAGTTCCATAGGGTCTGGAACGCCCCCCACCCCTTGTCCCACCAGATGGCCCATGCCCTTCTGCATGGGTTCCTCTGAACAGCAGAGGAGTCATTGGGGGAATCTGTGACCAGAGTGAAAAGTTCCAGAAACCATATTCTGTGTAAGCAAATGTGTGTACACACACATGCAGAGATGCCTAGGCCTAAAATCTGTGTGAACACACATGTACTCGCTCATACAGTTGGGAACACAACAGCATGGTAGGGGAAAGGGTGAACCATCTAGAGACCCAGAGTCCGTGGGAAATGGAAGCAGAATGTGACTATAGACTGTTCTATGGAAGACCTCATGCCTCCCCGGGTGGAAAACCACTGAGGCCAAGGGGACATCTCCCCAGTATGCACAGGGTTTCTTTTGTGGCCTGCACTATTGATCAAAGTTAAATTTAAATCTAATCACTGACCAATACTGACAACTTCAAAAATTTATATAAAGTGTGGGTTTCTTCCTTTGCAATCTTTGAGTCAAGAAGCAGTCTGGAGCCGTCTTCCCATAGATTTGGACACCCTGTAGACAGAACAAGCTCCATGTGGCCCCCTGTGTTCCACACCAACCAACCTGGCTTTGGATGTTCCGCTGCCCTTGGAAAGGCTGGGGAGTTCTAGTTCTGACCTCTGCCTTCCTGGACAAGCCTCATTAGAAGTCACAGAAATCAGTTTGAGGGATAGTGGACTTCTTTGACTCAGTCACCTATTCTGCCTGTGTGGTAACCCACCTATGACTTGTGTCATCCAACACATGCCTTGTGGGATCCCCATGTCTGTTACTGCAACCTGTACTCCAAAAACTAGAGGCTGGTCCCTCTAGTCTTTGGCAGGGCTCAGAGGCCAGAGTGGACCTTGTAGCTGGCCGGTTTAGTGACTGTTCATGCAGAGCAGAGGCTGAGTCAGAGGCTGACCTCTGGGCTATGCAGAAGTGAGTAGTTTCACCATGGTGACATACCGAGAAAAGATAGTGAGCATTTCTGGAAAAGAAGAAGGAGGATGCCCACGCTTCCTAATGGCCTTTGACCAAAAGTGAATGGAGTTGAATCAGGGTACCCTGAGCAGTGGGAATCCCTGGCACTGGCTCAGCTCTGCCCTTCAGATCTAGGCAGTTCTTGGCAGTTCAGGCTAGACTTTGCTCCAGGCCCTAGCCCAGGGTATAGTACTCCCTATAGACAGGAAGCCTTGGGCCAGTCTGCTCCTGAAGGGGCCCAGCTGGGCAATAGGCAGGTGTGGGCTGGAGGGAGGGACAGAGATTTCTAGCCTAATGCAAACCTGGCTTTGTTCCTCTGGGACAGGGCCACAGGTGCTGTGGGTCAAGGCCTCTAGATTAAAAGAACAGGGTGGGAGGAGAATGGCCAGGTCTCAAACTCCTTCCTGGAGGTCTGAGCTTCAAGGGACTAGGCTGGCCCACAGGAGGAAGGATGTGAACCCCCTCCTCCAAACACACTCAGCTTGGGAATAATATTTGTCCCTTCTAGAACCCAAGAGGATGGAAATCTAGCTGTTGATGTCCAGGGCCCTTCCATGGGGAAGATGCTCACTCCTGGCAGCATGAAGTCCTCAACTCCAGTGTATAGCCCTCTGGACAGGTTCAGGAGAGGAGCCAAGCTGGTTGACTGGGGGAAACCGGCTTTTGATGGGTGGGAACTTTGTGGATAAAAGAGCACCCTAACAGGCTGAGAGGGTGGTGAGTGGATGATTACAAGGTCACCAGAGCCAAGAAACGAGGGCTGGGATGCAGTCTTTCTGAGGACGGTGGCCCTGGTAGTGCACAAGATGGATGAGCAAGGCTGGTTCCTGAAGGCCAGTGGTCTCTACACTCCTGACATTGTGGCAGGGAGTTCACAACCCTGAAATGCCAGCCCATACTGTATCTGTTCCTCAAGAACTGTACCCAACCTTGGGGCCAGCCTGTTCCTTTATGCCTGGTGTTCCTGCCCCAACTGGGCTGGGACACAACAGCTATTCCCTGAGAGGGGTCCACCTTCCTTCACCATTGTGGAGAGGGGCTGGGCCAGAGGTGCTCAGAGAAATAGCTGATAAGCAGGATGCATTGGGGTATAGGAAGTTCACCCTTTATCAGGGGCTTGGGACAAGTCATACCATCACATTCCTCTGACCCAAGAACTGATGGGAGATAATTTGTAAACTGTGTGCTGTGGGAAACCCTCCCTCACCCCTGCCCAGGATCTTGACGGGGGCTCTGCCCTCTATCATCCACCCACCCATAGGCCCTCCGGACCCTGGAACCTCCCAGCCGCTGCTCACCTGGCTGCTGCTGCCTCTGCTCCTCCTCCTGCTCCTCCTCGCAGCCTACTTCTTCAGGTAGGAGTGTCCCCAGACGCTGACGTGCCCTAACCAGCTCCTATGAGGAAATGAGTGTGCTGGAGGCTGGGGGTGTGGGCCCAAACAGCTCAGACACCAGCTGGCCTGCCTGAGCTGCACAAGGCTCAGCCATGAGCAGCAGAAAGAGCTTTTCCCGGCTTACCTGGTGGGTACCACTGCACTCAGGGCATGGGGATTCCTGCTGTGCGGAGACCTAACACATCTTATACCTCTAAGGTTCAAGAAGCAGAGGAAAGCCGTGGTCAGCAACAACGACAAGAAGATGCCTAACGGCATCCTGGAAGAGCAAGGTATTTATTGTACACTGGGTCTCAGTACTGACACTGAAGGGGACAGGCGTTCGCAGCCCTGTCCAGCTGTCAGTTAAGCTTTCCTCTCTTTCTCCAGCTCCCCCTGGGTTTGTGATACTGCTTGCTAGTAATGCACAATGTCTGTGTTTCGGCACTTGGTGTCAGGGGTCATTTTCCCTGCAAAGAAAATCGGATGTCTGAGATGTTTCAGTTTGTGGGTTTTTTTTTTTTTTTTAAGAGACCACTCATATCCTGTCAGTTTAGCAGGGCTTTGCCGTCTAACATTTCTCACTAAGGCCTTTGAAGTCACCCTGTGATAAGGCTGTAACTTGTAAAAAAAAAAAAAAGTGTCCAGTTGACACTGTACTACCTCAGGGTCAAGCTGGAAAAGGTATTGCTCTGCTGAACCGGCTCACTCTTTTGAAGGAGCCTCAGTTAGGGGACATGCCGAACTTAGATTCCAGCTGTGTTCTAACTTGTAAATGCTGCTCACAAAAGCTTGTTTGTCTTTCTGTGTTTCAATGGTAGACAAAGCAATGGTTTTAAACACACAGGTTCTGGCCAAGTGGGGTGGCACAGGCGTGTAATCTTAGCATTTAGAGGTACCTGCTGAGGCAGAAGCAGCACAGGTTCAAAGTCAGCCTGTGATCTTGCTTTAAACAACCACAGGATCTGGAGATGGAGTTCAGTGGTACAACACTTGCCCAGCATATGCAAAGTCCCGGGTACAATCCCCTAAGATTGGTTTACTCCAGTGGCTTCAGTTTTGACATAACTTCCTACATAGATGTGACTGGCTTGAGGTAGCATGCATGTCATCAGAACTCAAGTGAAACTTTAGAACTCACTCAAGGTAGAGAAGGGGCTAATGCAGTCCCTAGGGCTGTGAGCAGCAGAGGATTCCATTGAGACGCAGCATTGCAGGACTTAGGGGACCTGCACTCCTGAATAGACCATCACCTGGCCCAGTGCACCTACATTACCCAGCCTCCTCTTCTGATTCCCCTGCACATCCTAGCAGCCAGTGCAGAGGGGAAGGTGCAGCTGGGAGGGGCACAGAAGCCCCCGGGCTTCTTCCAGTTCACCTGGCAGAAGCCAAAGGCTACCTTGGAGAAAGTCTGTGGCCTAGACTTGGTGAACTCTGCAGATGGGACAGGGCTTTTTGCAAGGGTGACAGCTGACTTACTCTGCTGACTTTATCAGTGTCAGCTCTCTCCCTGTGAAGAGAAACACCAATCCCTGACACTGCTTACACCTCATTCTGAGCTTGTGCAAGCAACTTGTCCAATTCTCTCAGTCCAGAGCCCACCCTCTCCTTTGCAATGTCCTCCTTTCCTTGATCAAGGATGCCTGGCTTCTCTGCATCACAAGGTATGGGATTTGAGGAGGCAGGCCTGTGTGTTGCCAAGAAGAGGGGGCTGCAAAACAGAGATCCTGGCAGATTCCCATCAGTTCTGAGCTTATACCTAGAGCCTTGTGATTCCTCTTCTCTGATCCCAAACCTGGGTCCTGAAGCATGAAGCTATAATGACCCTTGTGTAGGTACATAGGCTAAAGGGAAGGATAATTGATAGGTGAGCTAGTGAGCAAGATTATGAATTCAGTGTCTGTGATGGACAGGAATGCTGCCATCACTTGCTGAACATAGGGTATGTTGGGAAGCAGATGTTTGATTCAGTGGCTCATGGCTGGGCTAGCCTCAGGGTGTGTGATTTGAGAGTACTGCTTCCCTCCCACTATACAGATCCATCAGGAATGCTGTCAGACCATCTAGGGAATGAGTCACTCATGGGCAATGGAACTAAGTGGCTTCTCTGTTTCTCCTGACCCTACAGAGCAGCAGAGAGTGATGCTGCTGAGCAGGTCTCCATCAGGTCCCAAGAAGTACTTCCCCATCCCAGTGGAGCGCCTGGAGGAGGAGATCCGCGTGAGATCAGCAGATGATTGCAAGCGCTTCCGTGAGGAGTTCAATGTGAGTGCGCCAGGTCTCAGCCACCATGAGGAGCAGCAGGACAGTCAGAGCCAGTAGTTCCAGGGATTCAGGGACCTTGTGCCAATTGTGATGCTGCTCAGAAGTGGGGTCTGGAGAGCCTGCTCCCCAGTACTGTGCCCTTCACTGGTGTTCACCGCTCTTACGAAGTGAGGTGGTTGAGTTTGATGCTATGAGGCTTGCTGCCAGCTCAGTTATTGGGTACCATGTGTGTGTAACACCAGTTGTGATGAACACACTATTCTACCATGTGCTGCCTCGTGCAGGAGGAAGTTTCATGCTGAATGCTATAGAGATCCTCCTACCAAGCAGCTTGCCATGGTCCCCAAGAGGTCCAGGTTCTAACCAGATCAGCAGTTGTCCCTCGGAGCCACCATCATGGCACAGATCAGTAGTTCTGGAGACTTTCTGTAGGGGACACGAGCTCATGTCCAGTGTGTGTGAGTCTCGGCTGTTTGTGATGAATCGCTCCCACAACCTTTGAGAAGTGGCTCACTGAGACATGTCCCTGCCCGCTAACAGTCCCCATAGTCATTCTCAGAACTCAGATACAGTGCAGATCCGTCCTCCCAACTCCCAGAGTTGTCCATCTCCCGTTTTTACTCTAGTTTTTATTTTATGTGTATGTGCGAGTACTTCACATATGTATAAGCACCACATGCATCCAGTGACAAAAGAGGCCATTGGATCCCCTAGAATTGGAGCTACAGGTGGTCATGAGTCGCCAAGTAGGTTCTGAGGTCAGAACCCAGGTCCTCTTCCAGAGCAGAAAGTGTTCTTAACCTCTCAGCTATCTCCCCAGCCCCAGAGTTGTTAATTTTTTTATGTTTTAGTTTTATGTTTAGCATAGGCATGAAGCATTGCCGTGGGCACAAGGTCCCACACCATTGGTGTTTTGAAGCATTTTGCTCAAATGTTGCAGGGCTGGGAGCTGAACGTTGAGCCTGAGCAAAAGTGGGTGTGCGTGGATGGCTGCCTTGGCCTGACCCTGTCATAGCAGCTGTTCTACTCCAGGTCATTTCCATCACCACGAACAGTCAGTCCCTGGGGATGGAGACTCTGTGACAGCACAGATGTGAGCCCTGGAGGATGAGCTTTTGAAACAGTGCAGTGTGGTTGTTTCTAAAGGTGGTGTGGACAGTGATGATGACATGACTTTTCACACAGAGATGCCTGTGAGGACATGGGAAGGCGCTGGTGCGTTTAGCCACACTTCTCTTGCTTTTCAGCATTACCCCCTCCCCTTTATCTTGCTTCCCTTTTCATTGTGGCCAAGGGTGTTTTCCTCTTAAAGAAAAAAAAAAGAAAAAAAGAAAAGAAAAAAAAATAGGTCACACTGAAAGACAGCACCAAGCACTGTCCTTTTGAAAACTCACAACTTAACAGCAGATGTTAATTCTCCATTTTCAAAATAGCTGTCCCTCACGTTGCTGGTTGATGCTTGTCCTGCACTGCCTCTTCCGCTTCCTCTTTTGCTTGTGCTGTCCTGTGTGGTGTGCCAGTGACTCAACTGTTAGCCCAGGGGCTTACAATAGGCCCGGGAGCAGGATGAGGCAGCTGAGGGATGACTTGGTTCAGGCGCAGAACTCAAGGAAACAAAAAAACTTGCAGTAGCTAAGACATGCATGGTTTCATAGCTTATTTAAAATATCAAAATGAGCAAAGTGGGGGTGAATGAAACAGCTTGATCACAATCAAGAGAGATCAATGTCAGTGTATCTCCCTGTGGCCTGCGGCTCTGCTATGGCTCTTTTCATGCAGTTATGGATTCCACCATTGTTTAAAAGCTTGATGTTTTCACCGCTATGGATTTTAAATATCAAGTTAGCTTTTTAGAAAAGATGTTTCTGGCCCGATAAGATGGCTCAGTAGATAAAGAAAGGCACTTACCACCAAGACTGACAACCTGAGTTCAATCCCTGAAACCCTCGTGGTGGGAGGAGAGGGCTGATTTGTGAAAATTGTCTTCTGGCTTTCATATTCATGCCATGGGCACGTGTGCATGCACACAGGCATGCATGCACAAACAAATAATTGTAATCTTAAAAAGTTTAAGAAGAAAGCGTGTGATAGAAAAGATGTTGCCTCAGGGGCTTGTTTCTGCTGACTCTTGCCTTTTTCTGGAGCCTTGTAAATCTTATATCTATACAAATTCTTCCCTCCTGTTCCTCCCAGCCTGCCTCTCTGTGTTGACCTCGGGTGTCCCCCTGCCTGGTGACAGGCAACTAGAGATACAGTTGTGGGGTGGAGTGCCTGCAACCTGGCTCCTTTCTCCAGTAAGAAACTGGCCCTGTCCAAGGCCACAGGCCTTCGACATCTCTCTCCTGCCCAAATCAGCTGCTCCAGTTCTCAGAGAACATTTATGCCCTGTTTTCCCACACCTTCCCTTTCTCCTGTCTGATGGCACCTTCCAAAGATCCTGGGCATTCCTATCTGGTTCAGTTGAATGTGAACCTGAGGCTAAGAAGGAGTTTGGCCTTGGGATCATCTGCACTGTGTGATGAATGCTGGAGCTGGCTTGCTTGCATACTTGTCCTGGCCTGGAAGACTTGGGCTGTTTTCTTAAACCTTGCCTCAGTTTCCTTATCTGTGAAGGAGGGATTTTCCCTACCCTATGGGACTTTGATAACACATAAACAAATAAGTACCAGGCAACACAAGGTTGAGATGCTATCTGCCAGCTCCTCCTGGAGAGGACAGATCTCCTTCCTGTTTCCAGTCCCTGAATTCAATCCTAGAAAAGGAGGCCCCTGTGCAGGAAAAAAAATAAAAAACCTCTCTCTTGAGCATCTTTCCCAGCTTTGTCCCAGAAAGCTGTGTGAAGCCATGGGTCTGGAACCTACGCTATGGCAAATACAGCAGAAATACAGACAAAAGGAAATATACATGTACACACACACATACAGCATAACCACAAACGAGAGCCGTCCTTTAGTATTGATGGAACAAACCTCCTACAGAACGCACAGAGGGTCACTGCAGTCTAACCATCTCCAGCACTCTTGTTTCCCTGGGGCAACCAAGCGGCTGAGAACCCTGAGGTCCTGGGTATCCAGACAGCAGGAAAACATACCGGGCCCAGTCTGTGCTAGGTTGCTTGGATCTGGAGGACACAAGAGAACTTTGCCTGGTTCTACCCACCTTCCCTAGTCCTGTCCTCTGGGAGCCTGCGTGGGAGCGAGGTGGGCAGGGTATACCACCTTGTCTCTATACCCCACCTCTCGAGGCCACACAGCTGTGAAAAGGAAGGGGTGGCCAGGGCCCAATTCCTCTTTCCACTCAGCTTCATTGGCCACTACGCTGCAGCTACTTTGTCTCTCTTCGTTTTATCCAGTTTGTTGCTTTTAACAGGCTTTATCTTTAGAGTGGCTTCAAGTACACAGAAAAATTGAATACACACTACAGAGTTCCTGTGTAACCCATCTTTTCCATAGAGCAGGTTCCTCTGCCATGGGCCACCTGTGGGGAAATGCCCCATATGTTACGATTAATAATTGCTGTTGGTGGTGTTATCACTGAACTCCTAGGATCTGCTCATGCTGTGGGGTTTGCCAGCTGCACAGTTTCATATGCCACTGTGACTGGTTTTTATGTTCCAGGCTAAAACCTTTTGAGAAGACCCTAGGGTGTCATCACAAATTCAGTGTCCAGTGAGGACCAGGGAGGTAGTGTCAAGCCAGCTCTGGTGGAGAATCAGAAGTCAAAGAACATGAGTGTTCATAGCTGGTGACAACGTTAAGAACACCCCTTTGGCATTGCTGAGATGATCTCTGACTGGTCCCTCCATACTGGCCCAGGCAAACCCTCTGCCTGTGGCTATGGGGTGACCCCAGAACAAAGCAGAGCAGAGCAGAGGGGGTGTCCTATAGCATCCTGATGTAAGTGCTTGTGGAGAATTGAGTCAACCACTGAAGAAGCTCCTGCCTGCTAGAAGAAGGGAGGTTAGGGCCCTGACTGAAATGAGAGCAATCCTAGGACATCATGCCTGTCATCTGAGGCTGCTCTGGGAAAACAGGAAAGCCCACATCTGCCATGCTTAAGCAAGGGAGTCAGTCCCTCCAGGTCTGATGACCTCTTCAGCCAAATAATCCTGAGCATATCTCCAACCACTCTTCCTTGGGTCTGGTTCCATGTCATCAAATCATGGCCTAGTTGCATTTTCTCTGTGCCTGAACCATCACACTCAGTGAATAGTAACGTTTCTTCCTTGGAACCTAGTGGTCCTAGGTCCAACTGGAATCAGGTTTAATGTTGAAGGGAATGGCTTGAAGTACACAGTGCTCTTTACCCTGGCTCATCTGTGTATTAATAGGAACCCAGAAGCAAGCAAGAGGCAGACAGCTGGAAGCAACCAAAAATCAGAGGCAGGGTGGCTTTAGTGGTAGAAGGAACTAGAAACCCACATGTCCACTTCACTCCCCAGATGTGGTGCTTCTCATGTTAGCAGCTCAGCAAAGTGAAATTTCCGTTTCATACTGACACTCCTCCAATAGGGCACAGCGGTCATTTAAATGGTGGTTCAAAGTCTTCAAAGAGCCCCAAGCTCCTAGCTACTGAGTCTGGGGGCTGGGGTGGGAGCCGGGAGAATCAGCATTTCTAGGGAGCTTCTAAGCCTGACCCTGCTGACCAGACCCAGTCCACAGAGACATTGATGTCCTAAGCAGGGTGAGGGCTGTGGCTAAAGTCCCTTTCCAGGATTCCAATCCTCCTCTCCTGCAGCCCAAGCCAGGATCTCAGCATCCTCATATTGGTAGTCGTTGTTCCTCTCTCTTCCACATCACAACTCCTTTGGGATCAGTTTGCCTGTACCCAAGGAGTCCCTTCCTAGGCTAAAATCTTTATGGACTGGGGCATGGTAGGCAGTGATGTGAGTGAATTCCTGACCTCAAAAATTTAGTAGATAGCTCATCGTCTGCCCAGTGTCTAGCGGGGCCTGCAGAGAGACATGGATGATGGGCAGATGGTAGTTTTAATTCCTGGGCTTGGTAGGGAAGTGGATGGGAACCTGAGTTCAGATGCCTTGGTGTTCACTCTGATCTCTGTTTCCTTCCAGTCACTGCCATCTGGACACATACAAGGAACTTTCGATCTAGCAAATAAAGAAGAAAACAGAGAAAAAAACAGATATCCCAACATTCTGCCCAGTAAGACTTTGTGGTTGCTGCTTACTGTTTGTTTTTTGCATCATCTGTGACATTTGGGTTACACTTGGCACCGCTTTGCAGCTTGCTGGTGACCATGTGCTCAGTGCTCATCCCAAGGAATCCAGGGCCACACTGCCTGAGGGCCTATTTCCCTGCATGGGGTGTGGGCATCTTTGTTGCTCTTGACTGTTCTGGTTGCTAAGCAGGCATACAGGAAGCATGCTGGGCAGGAATGCTCCTCACAAGATTGGGGAAGGGCCTCACAATGGGGAAGGCCTCTCCTGCCAGATTCACTCCTGGACACCAGTCTAGGCCTGTTGGTAGCCTTGCACAGCACCTTCCTTCATAATCAGTGTTTGAAAAGACCAGGGACAAATCCCTAGTGTTCTCTATGGTCCAGAACCAAAGACCAAAATGGTAGAATGAAAAGCCCACATACGTTTGGCACCCGTGAGAGAAGGCTTAGCAAACCTTATTCTAACCTCAGTAGCAAACAGTAACCATGAGCTGGGGAGTGTGGTTACCAAGGAAGTGTCAGTGCTAGGGTGCAGGCTGTTGTGGGCTGGGCCTCTCATGGCCCCCTGTAGCTGGCTGAGCCTGGTTCTGAGGTGCCTGTCTTACTGCCAGGACAAACCCTGCATCTTCCCAGACACCTTTCCAAAAGCTGGCCCAGGAGGGTTGCAATAGAGTGCCAAGTTGGCAGGCCTCCCATCCCCCAGCCACAGCTTTATTCTTCAGGCCCACAGAAGAGCAGCCTCAAAGAGCTCCATAAAGCTTACACTTGCATCCTGAACAGAGGCCTCCTGCTGGTGCCAGAGGCCCTTGCTCTTAAGTAGAGCCAGGTAGGGTCAGGGAGCTGGCCACAGCAGACCTGTCCAATATATGATCTAGATTTTTTAGCATTTGCTGGAGATAGCTCTCCCCCCCTCCATTGTCCATGCACAAGGTTTATAAGTCATTTTTGTAAAGTCCATCATGATACATGATCCTAGGATCCAACTAAACCTAGAGTAATTGACTAAAGGACTTTAGTTTGTTGGGGCCAAGGGAGGAGGGGGTAGTTGTGCATGCAGGCTGTGAGGGTTGCTTGTCCCAAGTTTAGACTCTGGATACAGTGACATTACTGCTGGCTGGGTTGTGGAATCCGAGGAAAAGGGGGAACCCATGCTGTGACTCGGTAGCTCAAAGGCAAGAAAGGCCAAAGCAAGGGGGCATCTGTGCTCTTCAGGGTGCTTTGCATCAGGTGAAATCTGAGATATTCAAAGATCAGTTTTGATGTCTGATTTTAATGCTTCACCCTTCTTGATGAGTTTAATTTATGCCTTGGTTTGGCCCTTGTGTGTTTGTGTGTTTGGGACAAGGTTAAGTTGGATCCTAGGATCATGATGGGCTTTACAGAAATCACTTATAAACCTTGTGCTACCTCTTGAAAATGCTGGAAATCTAGTCTAGGATCATACATTGGACAGGACACAGCTCCATGTACCTCAGAGTCAAGGAAATTCAGATTATCTTACCTAACTTTCTCTCTTAATCATTAAGCCTGCTGTCCTAACACTCACAGTCTTTACCAAGACTATGCCGGAGACAGAGGTGGCAATTCACACTTGTAGTTTCAACAGACTCCAGGCTGAAGCATGACGCTCTTCAGATAGAAGCCAGCCTGGTCTACATGGCAAGTGAGACTCTGTCTCAGACAAGATAATTAAAAAGAAGAGAAGAAACAAAACAAGGACGGGAGGGAGGGAGGGGAGAAAAGAAAGGAGGCAGAAAGACATTCAGAGGAGTGCCAGTTGCTGGTAAGAGCTCAAGGAAACCAAGCGGCTACAGTAGGCACAGTGGGGTGCTCGGGTGCTCAGCTCACCGAGGAGTCACCCTGGCACAGGCTGAGTGCCTTCTGGCTTCTTTCTGCTGCACACAAGGCTGGCTTGCATTACAGAAGGAAATCAACCTGCCCTCACCCCATGTAAATAGTCCAGTTCAATATCCCCCATAAGTTCCCTTGCTCCTGCCCCAGGGTGAGGACCAGCCTCAGCCCTGCCTACCCAGGAGTAACACCTGACTTGGGGCATTGACAGTTATCTGGGACTGTAAGTACATGATGTGTTTTGCAGCAGGGGTGAGCTGTTTGTTGTTGCTTTGAGTTTTCTATAGCATGGAAACTTCATGCCTGTCAAGGGCCAATAGTATCATCCTTTTACACAGAGACATGTCTGGCTGTATGGAATGGTTGGTCCTGCTGGGGCAAGGCAGTGAGCTGAATCTCATGGGGTCAGATTAGCATCTGCAAGGTGGGATGGGGGTGTGAGCCAATGCTCACAGCTCCAGGTGCCCCATACCTCTCTTAGTCTACTCCAAGCCAGGGCAGACTTGCAGTAGATTCAAAGATGCCCCTGGGCTGGAGTACAGGGTTGGCCTTGGCCTGGGAATCCCAAAGATAGAGTCCAGTGCTCTGTGTCCAGAGGCTAGACTCATGCCTGAGGGGTCTCTCTCTAGCCAGCAGCATGATGGCCCTCTGCTGGAAAGATGCCACTGGTGGTAATTTTAGAAAGTGATGTTTTGACAGCCAAATGACTTTTCAGGATTAAGAAGCAGGAAGCTCTTAGAAGCTGTGATAGTCTAAGTCCGTGCAGATGCTATTTTTTGTCCTGTGTTTCTATAACTGTTCCACAGTGTAAGTCATTCTAAATTCTGTTCAGCTAGTGTGACATGTGCCACAGCTGTTTCCACCCTGAGGCCCTGAGCCCCTGAGCAGGAATATCTAGACGTGTGGCCGTGGATTTGGGGGTTTATCATCCTGCCCAGCATGGGTGGGCTAGTAATTGTCCCGGAGTTGTGCCATCCCCAACCCCCTTTCTGCCCAGAGTAGGACAGATGCGGCTCAGCAATGAACCTTAGCCAGGGAGTCTGGGATAATACACAGAGACCAGCCAAAAGCCTTCCATGTACAGCGGGTCATAGCCAAAGCCCAAGCTAGACTGGAACTCTCAATCCTCCTGCCTTGGCTTACAGCCCTTCCTACTTCAGCCATCTTTTTCAGTATGTGCTGACACAGTGACAACATTTCCATGGAAGAAAGGGTTACGGAGGAACCAGGCCACAGCTCCCTGATATGCACATACATCACTGCAACACTTCACATCATATGTATACCACACCACATACACCACACAAGTAGTCCACTGTAACACATATCATACCACACACTTCACATCACACAAAACACACCCGTATATGCCCATTGTGCCTTGTACCACACGTAATAAACTCACAATCAGCATGGCCTACCATTCAACACATACTTAGCACACTGAAGCATATACATACCACACATGCGTAACACATGATACCACAAAAATACCCACAACACACAATAGAGCACATATAACTCATAATACACATACACCCCATCATACAACATCATCCTTATACCATAGAACACATCCTCGACACATATCACGTGTATGTAACCCATAACACCCAGCACCACAAATACACACACACCTCTGGCTGCTTTCCCACACTGGAAAACACCCTGTTGAGCCAGCTAGACTCTCCATAGTCAATGGTCCAAGAGGTGTGAGCCCAGTTTCCTTCCAGCATTGGAACAGATAGTAAAGAATGGGAACTAGATTTCAGAGTCCCAAGCCCTTTACTTCCACATCCTCTGGAAAGCCTGAACAAAAAGGCCTAGTTCTTCATCCTGAGGTCCCACTATGTACCCCTCAGTTGTTAACATTTGGACCCATTGTGACAACGTGGTCACTTCACTATCTGCTGTTCTGCCTGTGTGATCCTGGTGCCACCTCCCCTCTTCCCTCCCCTGGCTGAAATCAGCAAGGCAGAGGCACCCCACCCTGACCTCAAGGGGAAACCTGGTCATGTCCTTCCAGTGACTGACACTTAGATAAAAGACACCCTGGGTCCCTGTGGCTCCTTGTCCTAACACCACGGGGTTATTTATTTTTCCCAGATGATCATTCCAGAGTGATTTTGAGCCAAGTGGATGGAATCCCCTGCTCGGACTACATTAACGCTTCCTACATAGATGTAAGTTGACTGATTTCCTTTCCCCTCGCCTGACATAAAGCTGATGCTAGGTACTCAGGGGCTGAGTCTGAACCGTGATGTGTGGGTGTCTTCCTTGCTGACCCTGAGCATGTGTGGTCACCACCCTCCAGGCAGTTTGGTCTCACTGAGAGTGTGAGGCCGTCACACTTCCCCAGCTTGTGTCTTCACCAAAAGTCACAAAGAGAATAGATCCTGGGGATGATTGATGACCACTGTAGACACTGAAGGTATTCAGTCCAGTTCCTTATGGTGCCGACAAACTAGAACAATCCAGTGCCTCTGACTAGACAAACCACAATAGGCCACAAAATTTAGTTTTCTTTGAAATATCATTTAAGGTTTTAAATTTCTTGCTTAAAATATAAATAAATGAAAGGATTTTGTATGCAATGCATGAGCCCAATTAGAAATATAAATATGTCTATATCTGCTGTGTGTAGGAAAACACATAAAAAAAAAAAAAACAATAGGCCATAGGAAATAGTACCTGTCTCTGAGGTTGCTGGTGGGTTTTGTTTCTGTATTACTCTTTCCTGTTGCCTACATTCTGTGGGGTGAATCTTCCCTCCCCTTCCATGAACAAAGTAGTCCCCTGGGCAAAGACAGTCCTGGTTAATTACAGGTCTGACTTCATTTTCTAGGGCTACAAAGAAAAGAACAAATTCATAGCAGCTCAAGGTAAGCAAGCAAGCTTTCAATTTAGTTCATGTTTGTGCAGTTTTTTCTTTTCTTTTCTTTCTTTCTTTCTTTTTTTTTTTTTTTTTTGTTTTTGTTTTTTTTTTTGTTTTTGTTTTTCAAGACAGGGTTTCTCTGTATAGCTCTGTAGACCAGGCTGGCCTCCAACTCACAGAGATCTGCCTGCCTCTGCCTCTGCCTCCCAAGTGCACCACCAATGCCCGGCTCGTGCAATGTATTTATAAAGCCATTTAACTATCTAACTGCCAACAATACCAATGCTTCATACTGGTTTTTCATGTGCTAGCACCACTGTGTCACTGTGTCAGACGCCCATGCTGTGTGTGCCCCTTTGTGACTTCATGGCACACACAGGGGCCATCTGGTCATCCCTCCTGCCACCCTGAGACTCACATTCAGTAGATCACTTTGACTTCCCTCAGCTGTCTTAGCTCCGGGGCTCCTACATTGCTGGGAGGATGTGTTGAAGGGTCTTTTACCTCAATGTCATAGCCACCATGGTTCAGCCACAGAATTAAGTCCTTGCCCTTGGACCTAGTCCCACCCAGTGCTTAGAGAACCTGCCAGAGGCTGTCTTTCCAGGAGGGTTCAGCAATTCCCCAGGGATCAGTGAAGCTGAAACTAGACTTCCCCTCCCCCTCCTCCTAGGCCGATTCCCTAGAAATAGAAGCACACGTTACACTCAGGGAACCGTGCCCTCGGTAAATGAGAGAAAAGCTGTCAAACGTTGGTGGAAACATAAAAAAAGGTCTGCATTTCTGTCACGAGCACTGGCTTGCCAAGGAAGGATTTCTTTATCTCCCTGCCCCCTCCTCCTGAGCATAGAACTCTTAGCTTCAGGATTGCAAAATAGTTGTTATAACCCTAGGCACTTTGTCATATTCAGACAGGAAGTGGACAAAGGACAGAGGAGTTTCTTCTTTTTCATGCTCTCTCCCTCACCTTCCCTCTCTCCTCCCTCCCATGCACACAAACTCACACACACACACATTTGCATTCCAGTTCTTCTGGGCTGTGACTCTAGGGGACTTAAGTGTGTGGTAGCCTCCAGCTACTATGACAAGCAGAGAAGAGATGGCCCTCAGATGTCCTCCTGTGCTCCCCCTTTATCCCCCCCCCACCCCCGCTGGGGAATCAACTCTGCCTGACTACACAGCAAGCTTCCTGGTTGCAGGGCCTGCCTTGTACATGGGGAAGGTATGAGCCTTCCATGAATTCACAAGGTGAGCTTAGAAGGCTCCTCTACACTGACCCACCCTTCTGCACTCAGGCCCTAAACAGGAGACAGTGAATGACTTCTGGAGGATGGTCTGGGAACAGAAGTCAGCCACCATTGTCATGTTGACGAACCTGAAGGAGAGGAAGGAGGTAAGCTCCTGTGCTCTGTAACCTGGCACTCACCAGGGAGACCCTGACTGCTTCCTCTGCCTGGGCACCTCTCTTCTATCAGTGGGCCTCAAACAGCACTCAGGCCTTCCTGCACCCTATCTTGAAGCCACTTCTCCACATTTCTGTACCGCACTGTCCTGCTCCAACATGAGCAATCATAGTTTCCCTTCTTTGTCTGAGGACCATCTTGGCCACCCGTAGCTCTAACCCCACTGGAGAAGACCAGACATAAGAGTGAAAGGTATTGGTGTGTTTCTCATGTGGTGGGCCTGGCTGTCAGTGGACACCATTGCCTAGGCCTTTCCTAGACTAAAGACACAGACATGTTCTCCAACAACAGATTCATGAAGGCAGGTGTGTGTACACCTGAACTTAAGGCGTCATCTAAGAGTGAGAGGTACAGTTGCCTTGTCTCCTTTCAAACAGACCCTGGTAGTGCCTGCTGAGCCCGCATCTCCATCACCAGTGCCAGGAACTGGCTCAGATGCAGACTGGAAGGGAGAGCAGCAGCCCAGGGAGACCTGAAGGCCTGCCAGATGTGTTGTTGGTGCAGAGCTCTTTTTGCAAGTGAAAGGGGAATTGGAAGCCTGAGGGAAGCTACCTCAGGTGGGGCGACCCAACTTGTAGACTGTGCTTCTAGCATGTTCCAGCATGAAGGCCCAGCTTGGCAGAAGGTGTCTGCCTGTTGGGCTCCCACCCAAGGCTCTCTGCACTAGCCTAGTCCTCACAGTACCCCATGTGCTGAGGATATGGGCAGGGCCTGCAGGGTTTGGACAGAACACCCAGCCTTGGGGTGCACAAGAGAACAAGGGTGGGACCCACGCGATAGACAGCAGAACACTCTTGTCCCCAGGGCACCTAACTAGTGGGCTCCACGCCCAGCAGCATAAGAAAAAGCCTGCAGTGTCAGTGTCTAGTTTTCTTATCCATCAGGGAGAAAATAGTGGGGACAGAGTGGGGATTGCTCCTTCTTGCTTACTTCATAACTCCTACCCTTACCCTTTGTCACCAATGTGAAGAGTGACAGGAGGGAAATGGAGCTCTCGCCATAGGTTTCCTGCCCTGTGGGGAGGGACCTCCATTCTGAAAGCAGGGAGACTGATGCTCATCAGAGCCCTTGGGTCTCTGTAACCCACTGCCCACAGAGACCAGGTCTTGCTGCTTCTTCAAAAGGCCACCATTGTAGCCCCAAGCAGAGGCAGAGGACCTCTGCCCTCTGTGTCATTGTCTTAGTCTCCCCTAGAGCCTCCTGTTGTTTTTCTGACCCTGTGACTCAGGGCTGCCTGTTGGTTCTCTCAGTTTCCACTACCTCAGATGGAGTCATTTCTCAAGAGAGTTCCTTTTCCTTGGTGGCTTTCATTGTGGTCTCCACAGTGTCCTCGTCCTGGACAGTCCATTGCAAAACCAGCAACTGACATCTTGTGACCTGAGTGAGACCTGAGGGTAGGGCAGTCAAGACCTCCCTGGGGCCTGAGACCCGTGTCCCTTTACAGGACCCTTTCAGGGAAGAATTACTTGAGATTCCTCAGAGCCACAGGGGGACCAAGACTCACCCAAACCAGACCCTTTAAGTGTCAGTACAGGCCACGCTCAATGCCCTATGACTATAGGCCAGCTTAGGTCAGGATACAGGGAGGAGTGATGTTTGTTCCATAGTGTTGTGACGAGGATGCTGGTGTCCATGGTGTCAGGTACCTTTTACTTTAGGTCCATTTTGATCCTGGAGAACAGGCCAGCTTGCTTTGCCATACACTGGCCATTTCTAGGACAAGCTGTGAGGTATCTGGAAGACTTGCTAAATTTTAGAGATTTCTCCAGGGAAGATTATGCAGCTCTTTCTCCTCTGGGGTTGTCCCCATTGGTCTACACACCATGATGATGGACAGCTTACTGCCTTTAGGGGCTTGCCTCGGGTAAAGAACTGCCTCTGTGGCCAGGAGTACTTCATAGGTTTCCATGTTAGTGTGACCTCATGAATGGCACTCAGGGTTGCAAGCATGAGTGGTCTTACCAGAAGGAAACTGAAATGCCCAAGGGGGGCATTCTGGGAGTATGGGGGCAAGGCTTACTGCAGCCAGAGGGTAGCTGGGGTCAGGCTTCCTAGCTCTAAAGGGAATAGGTTAAGCATGGGCAGGCATGGCTGGAGTAGTAGGATGTGAAGGGTAAGGCAGTGAGCAAATGGGGCATTACTTGTTCAACCCCAAACACTGGTTGGTTCACCTGTGAGGCCTTGCTTTCCCACAGGGTCATCGTCTCAGCTCCTGGGGAGCTAACTGCTGACCTGAGTCACTTGAACATATGTCGGTATTGGGAGACCATGTCTTGGACTGTGTCTTAATTCTTTTCTTCAATTGCTCATCACAGGAGAAGTGCTACCAGTACTGGCCAGACCAGGGCTGCTGGACCTATGGGAACATCCGGGTGTGTGTGGAGGATTGCGTGGTTCTGGTGGACTACACCATCCGCAAGTTCTGCATCCATCCGGTACACATGAATGTCTCATGTCTTCTCGGGAGCTAGGTTGGGGGCGGGGGCTTTACAGAGTGAAGAGCTGTCCCACCTCGCCCTACTCCCAGCAGGGCAGGAATTCTCACTAAGGGTGTACCTGCATTGTGAAACAAGACTTTGTCTGTTTGTGACAGGGTCTCATTATGTGATCCAGGCTGGCCTAGGACTCTGTATGGAGCACACTGGCTTCAGACTTACAGAGACCCATCTGCCTCTGCCTCTCGAGCGATGGGATTAAAGATGTGAGCCACCATGTCCAGTGACAAGATTGTTTTATAATAGTATCAAAATTATGTTCAGAATCTCCTCCATGTTTTCATGCTTTTCAAGACAGCCTTCAATAAAAATGCCTGTGAACAAAACAAGGATGGTGAAATGAAGACTTGAAGAACAAGCCATTTTATCAGAAACAAATGTAGAGCCATGCTGTGATTAGTCTGCAAATTTGAACAAAAGTTTCTAGAAGCCACTGCAGAAGGTTTTGAAAGGATGGACTGGGGGTGTGGCTCAGTAATAGCACATGTACCTAGCATGCTCTGAGCCATCCAAAAGTTATTAGCCCTTGCTGGCCTCTCTCCTAGATACACAGAATACTCATGTATGCAAGTGTGTATTGCACAGCCCCCACCCACCCACACTCACACATGCACAGAGAGTTCTAAACACACTAGTATTGTCTTCCTCAACCATCAGGGGCAGGAGAACCATGCTACAAAGGCTTGGGGAATTTATGAGGAAGGGTCTGGAGGTCTCCAGTGTGTAGGCTGAGCCTTCATCTTTTCTTCCCACACAGACTCTTTGAGAGTTAAAGAATATGCTAGTCTAAATTATTTTTTAATTTAAAAATAATAAAAATTAGAAAACAAAAAACCAGATCCCCAGGAGGTGGGACTGTTCAGACAGAGGCGACTGAGCATTAGGATCAGCCTTGGGAATGTGTGGCTACAGGGATTCTGGCCTGGGAATAACCAGCTGCGCGAGCCCTTTGCCATCTAAGAGCTGTATGTGTTCACATCTGGTATGGCACCCCTGTCTGTGTTCCAGGGTTCTCTGTGTTTGTGGACACTGACCTGGCATGAGCCCCAGCTGTCCTTCAGGAGGAGACGCTGAGTGGTCAGAGTAAGGAGGTCCACCTCTCACTTCTTTCTTCTCCCTTGCAGCAACTCCCTGACACCTGCAAAGCCCCACGGCTGGTCTCACAGCTACACTTCACCAGCTGGCCTGACTTTGGGGTACCTTTCACTCCCATCGGAATGCTGAAGTTCCTGAAGAAAGTGAAGACACTCAACCCCTCACATGCTGGGCCCATTGTGGTCCACTGCAGGTATGCAGGGAGAGGCAGGACCTTTGCAGGCAGCCACGGTGCGGGGATGGGAAGGCTGTGTGTGGCTAGTGGGGCAGTGTTGGATGAGCGGAACTAGGGCTGGGGAACTGAAGCTTCACAACAGTACCCCACTTGGTCACTGGAACACCTGCCCCAGTGATGTCTGACCAGAACTGCAATATGTAAACCTCTTCAAAGCTGACAGGCCCAGGTCAGTGGCAGGTGTGGGAGTTCTGGGCAGGTCCACTGCCTTGCCCTATGTACTACCTGGTACCCCAAGGGTCACTCAGTTCCCATAAGAGGACACAACCACATTGGTGTTAATAAGAAGAAAGTGTTTGGGAGTAGGAATAATGGAACACACACACACACACATACACACACACACACACACACACACACACACGCACAGGGCTTCAGTAACTCTAGTCTTCAGCTAAATGCTAAATGCTGGGGCTGCATTGCCCTCTGGTGGCCTTGCATAGATTTGCTCCTTTTCTCCCAAGTTGTACCCTACTTAATTTTGCCCTAGGCTGTGTCCTTTGTCCCCAGGTTCAGGCATCTTCCCAGGCTTGTCATTTACTTCAAGGGAATGTGACTTACGAGGTGGCATCTTTCTCCTCCCTGAAGCGCGGGCGTGGGCCGGACAGGCACTTTCATTGTGATCGACGCCATGATGGACATGATACACTCAGAACAGAAGGTGGATGTCTTTGAATTTGTGTCTAGAATCCGCAATCAGCGCCCTCAGATGGTCCAGACGGATGTGAGTGGCACCTCTTCCTGCCCTGGCCTAGGAAGCATTGAAGAGCACTCAGGTGCCTTTGCCCACTCCACAGGCCCATTAAAAACATGTCTTTACTGTGACTTTTTCTTGTTGCTGTTTTGTTTTTACAGTATGAGGCATTGCACCCGGGTCTGTCATGTAAACTCACTCTACAGCTGAGCTGTATTCTCAGCCATCTTTTTACTTCCTGAGACTTGGTCTTACTGAGCTGCTCAGCCTGACCTTGACCCAGCTCTGTCACCTGGGCAACCCTTGAGCTTGTGATCATCACATCTCACTCAGCCTCCTGGATAATTGGAATTTTAGACCTACACTACCAGGCCTAGCTTATAGGCACAGGTTTGATAGCCACAGGCTATCAGCATGCCCAGTGTCAGACCCCATGTCCCTCCCACTCTGTCATTACCTCCTCCCACAGAGCCTCAATCCTTCATATGTTCATATGCCATGTGGGTAGTTCTAGCAGCTGGCATGGCCCCGGAAGTCCCCATGGAGGCAGTGGCCATAACTGTCATTTTATTTTACCCCAGACGACCAGTCTACATAATCATTAATGGACTCTTGCCCTTTAGCCTTCTCTTACCAGCAGAAGCAAGCACTTCCCTGGACCCAGAGCAGACTTGAGCAGCATCTCCTGTCTCCCTACAGGTACAGTATACATTCATCTACCAAGCTTTACTGGAGTACTACCTCTATGGGGACACAGAGTTGGATGTGTCCTCCCTGGAGAGGCACCTACAGACCCTACATGGCACAGCCAACCATTTTGACAAGATCGGGCTGGAGGAAGAGTTTAGGGTGAGTGCTTCAAAGAATCTTCCACACCCTTAAAGAATTCAGGATGAGTGCAGCAAGGCACCTTTCTTGCCCTGGAGTGGATGGCTGAGGCTCCAGGGAAAATGGCATCTACTTAAATGAAGCCTTCAGGTCAGAAAGTTAGGAGATGGGAGATGGGTCTTGGGTTGTTGACTTCCAGGAAAGAATAACAGTACAAGCTGCATGTAGGATCACTTAGTCTCCCAATGTCAAGGCAACTTCTGGAGATGGTGACAAATTTCTGAGCAGGTCCCCTGCCTTAGGTCTGTTATCCTTTGCTCTAACTACATGTCTTGGCTGCAGAAACTGACCAACGTGCGAATCATGAAGGAGAACATGAGGACGGGCAACCTGCCCGCCAACATGAAGAAGGCCCGTGTCATCCAGATCATCCCATGTAAGCCAGTGGGCATGGAGGTCTCAGGTCCTGAACCACCCACCTTTGAACATCATGCTAGGGAGCAAGTGTCTCCTGTCCAGTTCTTGGCACTTGGGAGCTCTGTCCAGTGCCAGGAAGGAAGGGACCCATCTGGAGCACTCTGGGGAACCTGCACAGACCCATGTGGGTCTCAGGTGCCTAGAATATAGCTCAAAGGCAAGTCTAGAGCTTTATAGGGAGGGTTCACTGGAACCTAAGAAGCTTCCTCAATATGACTAGTGCTCTCTGGAACCTGGAGGCACCTCCCCCGCCCCCCACCCTTACACAGGTAAGAGTAAATAGCAATAGCATGACCAAGAATGTGTGCATGTCAAAGGACTAAATCAGACAAAAGTGAATTCAGCTAAGTCCTTCAAGAAACAAAACATTTGCCTTGGGAACTACATAGCACTGATGTGGGGTCAAGTTAACTCTGGCCTGTGTCGAGGATTGGGATGACTGAGGCAAAGACCCAGGTACCCACATCTGCCCCCCACAGGTGAGGAACAAAAAGAAATCTAGGCACACACAACCAGGGAGACATGTGGGAAGCACTGGCCTGAAGAGAAGGCAATTCATACCACACACAATGTTTCTTCATGCTCTCCTCCATGGAGCTGAGGGTCATCAACTGCTCACCACCATTGAATAGGCCTTCTCATCATGGTTCTATCTTCTCCAGAAGCAGAGAGTTCCAGACACTAGTCAATCCACCCTTAGCTTCCATCCCTTCTCTGTGGCCTCAGTATGTACTCTGGCAGCCCTAGCTCCTGTCACCCTCCCTTTGTTCCTAGAGGCAGTATTTTTAAATGCTTCTATTGGGGGACATAATTCACCGATTCTTGAAAAGTGAAAATTACAATTGGGTTGTTTTCAGAGCTCTCCCAAACCACATTATGAACCTATTTGATAGTGGAAACTTTCCTAAGAGTTGTCTTTCTTAAGTTTTGGTCTGTGCCTCAGTTTCTTTTCCTGATGAAATGCCCTGACAAAACAACTGAAGGCAGATAAGACTCTGGCTCATGGTTCTAAGATACAGTCCATCATGGTGGGGAAGTCAAGTCAGTGTGAGTTTGATGTAGCTGGCCACATGACTTCCACAGTCAGGAAGCTAAGAGCAATGTACACATGCTGCTGCTCAGCCTTTTTTCCAGTTTCACATAGTATAGAATTCCCTGGCCAGAGAATGACTCTGCCCATAGTTAATATGGGTCTTCACATCAATTAATGTAACCAAGGTAACCCCTACCATTTGCCCAGAGGCCTATCTTCTTGTGAGTCTAGACCTTGTCAAGCCGACATTAACCTTGACTATAAGGCAGGGTGGCATGTACACTAACAGGAAATCCTTCTTTGCAGATGACTTCAACCGGGTAATTCTCTCCATGAAAAGAGGGCAAGAATACACAGACTATATCAACGCATCCTTCATAGATGTATGTATTACAGCCCTGTGTGTTTGGTGCAACGTGTGACTCCCCTCCTGGAGTGTGAACATTGCTTTACACCATTTTCTTGGCAGAATTACTCGGTTTTAAAGTAACAAATAGTGAGTCAATTGTGTTAGTACACACCTGTAATCCCAACATTTGGAAATTAGAGACAGGAGTATCAGGGGTTCAAAGCTAGCCTCAGCTACATGGGAATGTTGAGACTAGCTCGTACTACATGAGATCCTGCTTCAGCAATTCAAAAAGAAAAAGAGGAAAATGACTTAACAGCTAAGGACACTTGATGCTCTTGCAGACAGCCTGGGTTTAGTTGTAACCACTGGAACATCAGCTTCAAGAGAGCTGAATCTCTCTTTTGGTCTTCATGGGCACCAGGCATGTACATGGTACACATACATACATGTAGGCAAACACTCAATCATATGCATAAAATTAAAAGCGATGAATCTTTAAAAGACAAAAATCAACAAATAATGAGCTTTAGAATTGGGGCCTAGTCTCATTCTGACTAATTGGCTGTTTCCACATGACCTTTAATGGACAGCTTCTCCGCATTTGCATGTGTGTGACACCACAGTTGTATGTGCAGAGCATGTGTTGCTGTTGAGTGATGTCTGTGACTTGATCCCACATAGAATGGGCGATCGCCTGTCTAGGGACAAGCTGGGGCCCGTCTCCATGCACAGTGGAGTTGGAAGAGAAAGAGACAAGAAAGAACTTTGCAGCCAACAGTCAATTAGCACTTCTGTCTGCACTGAGTAAACAGATGGAGGTGTTGAGACCGGAAGCCCCCGCTCTAGCTCCACTCCCAGGCCCTCTGCGCCACTATGATGGGAATCTAGCTGTGACACACAAATGCCTGTTAGAATCAAGGCCACTCAGTGCTGTCCTGGTAACCTGGAGCCTTTGATGGCCCTTAGAGATAACCTCAGCTTCTGAAGACAAGATGTGCTCTGCCCCTTGATGAAGGGGTAGCTCCTCCTTCTGGGGTGCATCAGTGGGCTGGGACATGTACCAGTGACAGCAGGCCTTCGGTTCAGGCCATGGAATGTTGGAGTTGCTGATCTCAGCCTAGGGCTGCCCTCAGGGACTGTGCAGGTGGTAGCTCACCCCTAACCTCTGCTTCCCTCAAGGGCTACAGGCAGAAGGACTACTTCATGGCCACACAGGGGCCTCTGGCTCACACAGTTGAGGACTTCTGGAGGATGGTGTGGGAGTGGAAATCACACACAATCGTCATGCTGACCGAGGTGCAGGAGCGGGAGCAGGTGAGCAGGCTCTGTGCACTGGGTGCATGTGAGGGGGTAGCTGATGGTATGATTGCCTCAGCAGTGAACACGTGGGTGAGACCAGCCAGGAGGACTGAAGAGGGAGGACGGGAGGGTGGGCAGGAGGGGGGGAGGCACAGAAGGAGGGAGGGAATGAGGGAGGGTTGGAGGCAGGGAGGGAAAGAGGGAGGGAGAGAGGGAGGAAGGGAGGGATGATTGAGATGGTCCTTCATCTTTGCTTTTGATGGATGGAAAGGTGTTAGACATAAATAGTCTTGGCCTCACATATCTTTACACTTGCCTTGATGTTCCACCATTTTTTTTAAATGTCAAGGTCACAGACTGTGAATGCAAAAGGCATTTACTTACTGTTTGTAACACATAAAGGCTGACATTGATCTATGCCCCTGGTTGCTATCCTAGTGAAGTAGGATGACTTCGGCATTTCCATTTTCCCGCGATCCACCTATGGCCTGATAATGTCACAAACCCAGAAAAATATGCGTAATTTACTAGTACTGAGTGTCTAAGTGCTACCCCAAGACATAGCCATGACCCTGAATCTATATTTTGATTTCTTCGCTTTAAAAAACAAAACTTGGGCTGGAGAGACGCTCATTGGTTAAGAGCATTGGCAGTTCTTCCAGATGTCCAGAATTCAATTCCCAGCAATCCCATGGGGGCTCACAGCCTTCTGGGATGGGATCTGATGCCTTCTTCTGGCATACAGGTGTATATACAGATAGAGTACCATATACATAAAATAAATACATCTTTAAAAAATGTAAAAACACAAAAACTTTATTGAGCTGTTTCCCCCAGAAAGCAATCCATCTTTTTAAGGGAACAATTTGTTAGGGTTTAATGTGTTCACAGTGCTGGGCAAACATATCTTTTGTCTAACTCCAAAGTGTGGTCACCACCTGAAGAAGAAACTGTTCCATTAAGAGTCACCCCCAGGCCCAGACAACCACTGGCCAGACCCTTGACTCTACTGACTGGCTCTTCTGGACCCTGCTATAAATGCAGTCACACAATGTGAGCTGTTTCAGGAGTGGGTCCTCATGTGCCATCATGTCATTAGAGCTCATCCTTTGGTTGCATAAATCTGGACTTCATCCTTTTCTTTAACCATTTACCATACATAAGCAATGTATCTTGATCATACCTCCCCAATTTCCTTTCCCTCTTCCCTCAGGTGCCCCCAGCATGGCCCCCTCTCCTCTCCTTTCCTTTTTCTTGTTAACCCACCGAGTCCCAATTAATGCTACCTGTTGGGATGTGGACTGCTTTTGTTAGCTTGCTCTTGAGTGGGTCTAGAGCCAGAACTACAGCTGCGGTGAGTTCGTGAAAGGAATGGCTATGCCGTGTCCAGAGGCAACATGTCATATGCTCCTCCCCATTTCTGGTTCTTAAGTGCTTCCTGCCCTCGCTTCTGTGAGTTTCTTCCCTGAGCCAGGGTGGGGCCTGGATGGGAGCGGGGTTAATACAGATGTCCCATGGACGACTAAGCACTCAGTACAGACTTCTTTATTGACAGTAATCTGTCCTGTGAATGGCTATACAACTTGCATTTCCCTGTTCACCAGTTGATGGGCACTTGTGCTGTTTCTACCTTGGGGCTGTTTGCATTCTGCTGCTGTGGGTGTTTGTGCTCAAGTGTTTGTGTAGGACTAACTTTTGTGTTTCTTGCTTACAAACGTATGAGTGAAATAACTTCCTTATAATGTAACTCCATATCATAAACTTTGATCATTCCATAGTTTCAAGATTTTTAAACTATATGCTGGGGAGGGGAACATGCACAGGAATGCTGGTGTGCACAAAGACCAGAAGAGGGAGTCGGATCCCCTAAGCTGGAGCTACAGGCAGCACTGAGTTGCCTGATATGGGTGTTGAGAGCCTTCTGGTCCTCTGAAAATAAGCAGAGCCTGCTCTTAGCCTCTGCCCCCATCCCCGTTGACACTCGCAGTCTCGGTGTTCAGGGGCTCTATGTGTCCACACTCTTTACAACCCTGGTGTTTTGTCCTCTTGATTAAAGCTATTGTAGTAGATATGTTATTTGTTTTGATAGGCAGGCATTAAACCAGCTGGATGTGGTAGCAATACGTGTAATCCCAGTATTTGGGAAGTGGCAGCAGGAGGATTAGAGAATTTCTCTTACCCTCTGCTACAAGGTAAATTCAAGAACAGGCAATAACCCCCCAGGGGGTGGGGGGAGCGTGCGCATGCACGAGTGGGCGCACGCGCGCACACACACACACACACACACACACACACACACACACACACACACACTCATACCTAAAGAAACAATTACTTTATTCTACTTCTGTTGCAATTTTCTATAAAGAATTCCATTGTGTGTAGTCTTCTGAGACTTGATTATTCTAAATAGAAGTGACTTGGCTGTTTGTTTTCTAGGCTTACATCTGTGACTGTGACTCAGCCACATTTCCTTATAGTCTGCTATAAAGATCACACATCCTGCACCCACTTCTTCAGCCCTTCTTACATCCTTGACAGTGGGCCCAATTCCATCCTATTGCCTAATAAACGGTGATGCTACCAGTAGTTAGCAGGTGCCAGGTAGAGAAAATGTCAGATTGCAGATTGTCCAAGAATGAGAATTGCTGGTTGCTCCAAAGTGGTTTTTAAAGTGAGTATCAGCAATGAATAAGACATATTCATTGGCATGCCTAGTGTTCTGAGAGTGCCTGGAGTTCTCTGGCACCCTGATCCTTGCTAACTGAATGCTAATTTAGCTTTCCATGGCTTTTGTTGGAATTTATCTCATTCCTACAAGGTAGGCCATCACCTTACATATCTATGGATGTCTTCTTTCTTGTATCAAATGCTTTCCCTTGCTTTTTTTTTTTTTAACCTCTATTACTGATGGAAAAAAAACAGTTTAAGGAAGGAAGGAAGGATTTATTCTGGCTCAATAATTGAAAGAGAATCCACCATGGCAGCTGGAACACAAGGCATCTGGTCATATTGCATCTGTAGTCAGGAAGCAGACAGATGGGCACATGTGATCCACTCACTTCCCCCTGTTTATCCATCCCAGGACTCCAGTCCACGGAGTGACACCACCTGCAGTCAAAGTGTGTTTTCATCTGTCAGTTGAATCTCTCTGGAAAGCACCCTCCCAAGAGGTTAGGTAATTCTCCAGGATGATTCTAAACCTCATCAAAGTGTCAATCCAGATTAACCATCAGGCATAGAAGCACCTATTTTTCTACTGGGCTGTTTCCCTTCTTATTGCTTTAAGAGTTCTTTACATATGGTGGGTGTTCATCCTGTGCTGGTTTTGTGTGGCGAGCATCTTGCTGCAGACAGCAGCCTCCTTTTTACAGTTTTGATGATGGTCATTGATGGGAAAAAAAAATGTGAACTTCATTTGATGCTGATATTTCTGTCTTTGCTTCGGGGATGGCTCCGTCTTTTGTGCCTTCTTATTTAGTGAGACACAAAATTTGTTCTTCAAAGTAAAGAAATATCCAAGGTCGAGATGGAAATATAGGATAGTGTTGTTTGTTTACTGGCCTGATTCTAGGAGAAGCTGCGGTGTTCATGTCAACCTTGCCCAGTGAATCAGGGATTAATCTTCTAGTTTCACTGTAGTCAGAGACTTCGGAATTGCCAGCTCCCCAGTAACAACACAAAAACTTGTTATTAATTATGAAAACTTGGCCTCAGCTTAGGCTTTTTTACAACTGGCTCTTATAACTTAAAATAAACTGTTTCTATTAATCTAAATTCTGTCAGGTAACTCAGTCGCCTCTTCTCTGCACCATATGTCCAATTAATTCAGTGTCTCGCTAGTGTCTCTCACATACCTAGATTCATCCCGAGTTACTCTTTCTGCACGGAAGTCCCGCCTATTCTCGCCTGCCTAGCTATTGACCATTCAGCTCCGTATTAAACCAATCACAGTGACACATCTTCACACAGTGTAAACACATATCTCACAACATTCCACCGGCTGAATACATCTTCTGTTCTCTCACCTATCAAGGTTCCATGTATCGGTATCCTTCCAGACCTGTTCTCTGCTCATGGTCAACAGACACTAGTGGAATTCAGATCCATGTTCACGTCAGATTTTCTGGTCACACGAAATGACCCCACATCAATTCTGCACCTTAAGTGGTAACAACAAAACATTTTATTTTCTCCCCCTAGGATAAATGCTACCAGTATTGGCCAACAGAGGGCTCAGTGACTCATGGAGATATAACTATAGAAATAAAGAGTGACACCTTGTCTGAAGCCATCAGCATACGAGACTTCCTGGTTACTTTTAAACAGGTATTATGTCTGTGATCCCCCAAATTCTAGTAGACCTTAGGAAACACCATCACTTGGTATGTTCTTACTGCTGTATCAGGGTGGGCCTGGTACCTGTCACCATCTACCTGTTTCTAAGTCCCAGGGAACCACAAGGGGCCAGGAGATGATCTGGTAGTGAGTGTCCTATGAGGATGTATGATGCCAAAGATGTTAATTTACTGGGCTGGGGATGGAATGACAAAGGACCGGAAAGAAGGTAGAGAGGTCCCCTAGGCCCCTTCCAGAACCTCTAAGTGTCCCTGTCCACACTGGACCTTGAACCCTGACCACGGAAAGTCTAGGCTGTCTGGCTCAATGAGAGGTAAAAGAGCTCACAAGCTGGACTCAATTCTGAACTGAGACAGTCAGTTCAGAAAAGGTGTACTTGTGCAAATACTTGTTCCCTCAGGGCCAGTAGTGGATTGCCTTGGACGCTGGGCTTGTCTCTAGTCCTTAATGGGAACTCAGAACCAAACTTCCCAAGAAATGTGAGCCTAATCTCTGAAGGAAGCCACCAAGACCCCTGAAAGGGCTGGGCTGAGCTACTGGAGATCTAGAAGGAAATATAGTCGCTGCTAGCCAGGCCCCTGGACTGCCTAGGTGGGGCTTTGAGACCCAGAAGGATTCATGGGCAGGCAGGCAGACCCCTGGCAGGATATGGGACAACTTTCACTGAGACTTCTCTCCCATCTGTAGCCCCTGGCCCGCCAGGAAGAGCAAGTCCGCATGGTGAGACAATTCCATTTCCATGGCTGGCCGGAGGTCGGAATCCCAGCTGAGGGCAAAGGCATGATCGACCTCATTGCAGCAGTGCAGAGGCAGCAGCAGCAGACAGGCAACCACCCCATCACCGTGCACTGCAGGTGAACTGCCCCTCCCCCACATGCCCCTGTGCTGGCTAGAGACCTACTTAGCAGCTAGGGGGAGCTGGACAGCTGCTCCCAGGGGATTGCTTCCCTAGACTGTGAGTCACCTTCCCTTACACGCAGGAACACACATCCTGGGAGGAGTCAGAATGGGCACAGGGTACTACTATGTCCTGTTGAAGTCACACAAACTTCCCAGGAAAAGCCCTCAGGTACCCTTCTGGACTTCAGCTAGTCTGTGTTAACTCTGACTCCCAGCTCTGTCTCTCTCTGGCTGCCCCATCCCTATTGCCCACCTTCTCTCCTCTCTTCTGGCTTGGAAAACATTCAGTGCAGATGACTGAATGCACAGGATGGAATATGAAGATGCCATGAAAATGTCCACCCCTGTATCTGTGTGTGTATGATCATGAGGTTACATAAGTGTAATCCATGAAGGTCAGAGGTCAAGCCAGGTGTCCCTCCTCAGGTGTGAACACCTTCAGTTGGCTTTGTATCTGCTAATTAAGCTATGCTGGCTAGCCAGGGAGCCCCAGGGCATGCCCAGCTTTTTTTCTGGAGTATCTGGAAATTGAACTAAGGTCTCATGCTTGCACAGCGTGTACTTTTCTGGCCGAATCATCTCCCCAGTGTTGAATCTCTAAAGTAAACTTGTTCCACCACTCATATAGCCATAATCAGGCTCAAGGGTAAAGACACATTCCTGATGTGGCTAGAGACAACTTCTAGCCAGGCCTATGGCACACAACAAATGGAGAAAGAGTGGATGTAGGACAGATCCATAGCTCCCCTGCATCCCTGACTGGGCAGGTCCCGCCAGCACTGTGCAACCTACTGCAATGATCTTAGCCACATCTGCAAAGCCCTGACAAGCAGTTTAGGAAGCTTTTATTTTGGGGTGATTCTCACTAGCTGTTGGAGCTGTGATCGTTTCATTTCCTGAAGATTTGACTCACACCTTAGGGCATCCTTTATTTCCATTCATTACCCTTGATGTCCAAAGAGCCCCTGTTTAATGAGGGCTACTCTCCCTTCATGGACAACCCACCTAGTATACTCCATGCCTGGCCAGCAAGTGGCGCTCACACTTCAGTTTTCAGTCCCAGGAGTCTTCCCAGTGGCTCCCTGAAAAGGAGCTAGAAATGAGTCTCTTTGGTCTGGGATGCTGGAGATAAATTCTGCAAGCCTGAGACAGTAGGTAACAGCCATGGGGGCCACAACAGCAGGTCTTGAACGTCAGAGTAGGCCCACGTTTGTGGAGATTCCAAGAGGCCCAGGACAGCCATGTCCCTCCAGAGGGCACTAGAAAATGTTGGCCTGGTGCCTCCTTTAGCCTCTCCCAGACCTCTCCTGAGTGGCCTGGCTCATCAGACCAAGTGCCATCTTCTGAAGAGCCCACAGTTCCTAGGAGAGAGCTTCCTATCATGCCATCCCTAAGCGTAGTAGTCAGGCAGCACCTGAAATGGATGGGAACAACTTGGGAGGCTTTTAAGTGGAAGTAAGCGGGGTACGGTTTGCTGGATCTTGCTGTATTGTGTGTATAAGCTATCCTTTAAGCTGCAGTCAAGGGGCTTGGGAGATGGCTCAGTCAATATAGTGTTTTGCTGCATAAGCATGAGCCTTTAGCCACATAAAAAGCCTTGTGAACTGGTGCACATCTGTGATCTTCAGTGCTAGTGAGACATAGGCAAGCCAATGCCTGGGGGCATGGGGACCAGCCAGCCTGGCCAAGACAGTGAGCTCTAGGTTCATTGAAAGAGTCTGTCTAAAAAGAAGGTGGAAAGCTATAGAGTAAGACAACAAACATAGACCTCTGATCTCTGCATGCATGCGCGCACACACAAACATTTACATGTATATGAACACATACAGCATCAAACACAAAGATGCTGGGGCCTCTCGGTGACTGATACTCTGCCCTGGCACACGGGGGGTGGGGTAGGGTGGGGTGAGGTGGGGTGGGGTGGTGGTAAGTGCATGCTCAGGTCTCTTCCCCATGCATACCCTTGCTTGCTTTGCCTTCACTATGCACATTCCCTCCACAGTGCGGGAGCAGGGCGGACAGGTACATTCATAGCACTCAGCAACATTTTGGAACGAGTGAAAGCTGAGGGACTCCTAGATGTGTTTCAAGCTGTGAAGAGCTTAAGACTTCAGAGACCACACATGGTGCAAACGCTGGTAAGACTCTGAATGATCTGATGTTCCAGAAGAGTCGAGAATTGTTTCATGTATTTGATGTCAGTTTCATTAAAGGGTAGCCTGCTGTAAGGGAGGGCCAGGAGGGTTCATTTCCCAGAGTACCTGACCCAACTGCAGCCATTCACCCTCCCTCCCACCCTGTTGGTCTTAGGGGGAAGTTTCCCCAGCAAGACTCAAGGGGAGGAGCTCATGCCCAAATTTTTTTTCCATTTAAAAACAGTGTTACAGAATTCAAAAGCAGCCCTGAAGTTCAAAGCTCTGCTGCTTGTTATTTCCCGGCTCCACTGTTGCATTTAGTCTGTTTGCCTTTGGAAAGTCTCACTCAACCTCAAGGCCCCTCTGAGGGTCTTGCCCTGGGGGAGGTCTCCTAACATCCAATTGCTCTGCATATTCTCTTTCATTACTGGCTGCACTCTTCCTGGGTAGAGGGAGAGATTCCACACTGAATTCAGACATGCTTCCTGCCAAAGGAGCAAGTGGAGGTTTAAAAGCTGTTCTCTTTATGATTTCCCAGAGCCTCCTCATTAGGCTTTCTCTCCCACCTGCTCTCTCTCCACAATGCTCTTGACAGGCAGCCTGACCCATGCGCGTAGATGCTGTGATGGTGATAACAGAAAGGCTCTACATGAACCTAAAACATCTAGTCTTACAAATTCAAATGAAATGTATAGTAATATAAAACCATGTGGTTTTCATTTACTTACCAGTAATACATTAGGCACTGTAAATTTCATTTTCCAATGTTAAAACTGTGGGGTATTTTTCCGCACCTCAGAAATAGTTTTCATCCAGCTGGGTGGCATATACGAATAATCCCAATACTTGGCAGGTAGAGGGAGGAAGATTAAGAGTTTAGGGTCATTCTTGGCTAGGCCTAGCAACATGTGATTCTGTCTCAAAACAACAAACATCTCTCTCTCTCTCTCTCTCTCTCTCACACTCTCACTCTCTCTCTCTCTCACACACACACACACACACACACACACACACACACACCTGTTTCCTGGCCTTGGGGTATAAGATAAAGCACTGGTCTTGAAAGCATAAGGACCTGAGTTTCATTCCCCCAAACCAACAATAAGTATTTAAAAAAAAAAAAAAAAAAAAGGATGGAAATGATGGCATATACTTGTAATTCCACAGCTGGGAGGTAGAGGCAGGCTTTCTGGGGTTCACAGGCACAAAATTTGGCAGTTTCTAAGCCAGTGAGATACCCTGTCTCAAAACCCAGGTGGACAGTACCTGAGGAAGGAAGGACATCTGAGGTTAACCTCTGGGTCCCACATGTGTACCTGCACACACACAGATGTGCATACATATGCACAAAATACTTTCCAATGTCAATATGTAAAGTAGAGATGTTTTCCTAAGACCTTTCTTAAAATACAGCGAAAACAAACTGAAAATGGATGTTTTCTACATAGAAAAAGAGCTTGGTTTAGAACATGTCTTGTACTTAAAAGCTACATTGCATGACAGAAGCTGATGTGTGGGAAGGAACCACAGACTTTGGTGCATCAACAGACTGACTGACATCTTCTGATTGAATGCATCAAGAATGTGTGAAGCAGCTTATTAATATACTCTTGTTCTCTTTTCAGGAGCAATATGAATTCTGCTACAAAGTGGTACAAGATTTTATCGATATATTTTCTGATTATGCTAATTTCAAATGAAGATTCCTGCCTTAAAATAGTTTTTAATTTAATGGTCAGTATATTTTGTAAAAAAAAAGAAAGTTAATTTATTTCCTAGTGAACATTAATACCCTTCTTAATTCCTTTGTATATATTTTGTTATGTTTTAAAGGTTACCTGCTATAAGGGTATGAAGTCTTAAATGCCCTTTTTAAAAATTGGAATGTGTTAAGATCCAATATTATCTGGGAAGATTATATATTTCTGCTAATATCAGTCAATATCTTAATTCTGTTAGATTCACATCATGTGATGTCACATGTCACACATCTGTAATTGTAGTTCTTAATATGTCAAATATGTTTGTGAAAGACACTAAACATTGAAGCCCCTTGTGGAGAAAACAGTTGAGGACTCAGAATCAGGAAACATTTACTCTCCCTACCAACTGTGGCATCAGGGCATCAGGGCGTGGCAAATAGTATACATGGGGGCTTCGGTAAAGTCCTAGGTCTCAGCCATGTGGTTTGTCTTTACATTTGAAAGATCAAAGAAGGAGCCAGGCATGGCAGTGCATACCTGTGTTTCTAGCACTTGAGGGGCTAAAGCATTAAGGATTGCCTTCAGGTCCAAGTGGATGGATGGATATATATATATATCTCAGATCCTGCAACCTGGATCTTGGTCTCAGATCCACAAGGATAGATGGTGACTTTCCAGTGAATTTTTAAAGGCATTTACTTATGAAAGGCTGTGTTTCTACCACTGTAGACTTGATGAGAAGAGGTGCTGGTCCCAGGTCATCTATTCTTACTGGCTTCCAGCATCCTCATACTAGCCATCAAAGCTGTGTTCCTAGGGAACGACTTGCTGTCCATCTGCCTGTGTGCCTGGCTCAGAATCCAGCCAAGCTAATTTCCAATGTCCCTCCTGCTGGCCCAACTGCCTGTACTGACCTTAATTGAGTCTACTGTCTCAATTCAAAACAACTTCCTTCCCTTCATCATTGAAATGAAGTGTCTTACACACACACACACACACACACACACAGATAGAAGCAGTAGGATGACCACAAGCAATTGCACTGTAAACCTCCTGTCAGGCATTAGGTATGTCAGGATTTTCTTTGTAAAAAGTTAGGATGGTTTATAAGAAAAGAAATCTTAAAATCTAGATTTATACAGTTTTTTAAACATCCCACTCCTTGGTGTTTAATTTTAAAAAGAGAGAGAGAGAAAGAAAAAGTTGAAGTGTAACTTACTTTGGTGAAACTTTGGGTGCAAACACTGCTGAGGCCTCTGACCCCAGGTGACAGTGATGGTCACACCACCAGAGAGGAGTAGGTTAGGGGAAGGGTGGGGGTGGGGGCAGGGTGAATGTAGAAATACTGATTTCAATATGACCTTCCTACAGCATTTAGGTTCCTAGCAAATGAGCACAACGTAAAAGAAAGAAAGAAAGACAGACAGACATCTGGTCTAACTCACCGAAGGCTTTGAACATATGCAGTTTGGGTAATTTTTAAAAAGAGATATGAAAATATAAAGGCCTTATTTCTCCATGGAGCACTGATCATGCCTGCCTATGTGCACCATTTGTTCTTGTTTGTTTATAGTATGTAAGGGGACAACCCCAGGGTTGGTCACTGCCTCCTACAGGTGAACAAGTCACCAAGCTTCTCTCACATCCCAGAGCTCTGAGTTCAATCCAGAGGCATAAGCTGGTGTCCACCGTGTAGGGTGAAAGCAGACAGGGGCTCCTATCATCACCACTGGCTGCACCCAGGGTTGGCTCTGGGCTGAGCAGGACCTCTCCTTCCCTATGCAGCAGTGGAGCACAGGCAGAAGATGGAAGAGTGAGCTTTCCCTGGCCAGCGGTTTCATTTCTCTCATGTTAAACCTCAAACCCAATGCCCTTCTTTGACTTAAGCAGGGCAAAGGGCTTCCACTCTGCACCCCAAGCCCACTGGAATGAAGGTGACCTCACATTAGTCCCACGCCAATGTTCAGCCATGTGTCTTGGCACCCCAACTTAGTTGCTCAGAATCCCAGGCATCTCTTGTATCAAGAAATGCCTTTAGGATAGACCTTTTCAGGATGTCTAGAAAAAAATGTTCTTTTTCGTGTGTTTTTCCTCATCTCGGGGCTGCCCCACGTTCCCCCATAGGAGCCCCATTTGTTTCTAAACAGCTTGTTTCATTCCAGAAGCAGAAGCCACCCTCCTGTGGACACATTTGGGGTAGCACTTGTCTTTCTTTGAAGGGGCCAACCCCTTGAGCCTCTTGGCTAATGCCACAGCCAAATTCAGCTTCCCTAAGACACAGAGACTCAGTATGCAAGGGGCATCCTATGTGGGGCCTCAGCATCTTCCCTGAGTTACCTGGCATGTCCTTCTCTTCTTCCTTCAGTCAAAGGTCCAGTATACCCCAGTGAACAGCCTGGCACCTACAACAACCTTCTCATTTCTGTGTTGCATGCAGCTGTGTTCAAATGCCAAATAGCAATCAGAGCTGAGTGTTCTGATCAGATGTGCTCCTTGGTCACTGTGTGACTTGCTTTACTCTCTCCATATGCTAGATGAACGAGGAATGCACACCTGTGTTTTCCAAGGTATTTTTTATGTGTTTTTAAAAACTTTTTAAAAATGAGCCTGATACCTGTGTTTCAGCATTTGGAGACATGGCCATGTTTTGGGTTTTTTTTTTCATGTATATTTACTGATATATATATATATGTTTGTAACCAAGCCATGTTTAATTTATGTGCAATCTTCATATATGTGTGCATCATGGTTCCAACTCTCATTTTCTTTGATTACATTTACCATTTGATCTTGCCCTGATTATAACCAGTGACTATCACTGAATTTGGAACATGTAAACAGCAAGATCAAGAACATCCTGATGCAAGAATAAACCTCTGAAAACCAAGTTGTACCTGTGCTGCTGTTTTCATACTTCTGAACTTAGTTTTCACGCCCTTTTAGACAAGGCATTCGTTGGAGGCTGGGAGTGCAGTTCTGTGGCCAAACACTTAACATGTGTGAGGCCCAGGTTACAACCCCTACACCAAAGATATGCATTTGGCTTACAATTTGAGTCTTATTTTTAAATGTGTGTATGTGCAGCTGTTTGAGTATACAAATACATGTACGGGTACACAGTAATGGAAAAGTAACTAACAGCAATTGGCAGCTGAAGTACATTGGATGTAACATCTAATTGTGTTGATTAGGGGAAGACTGTGGAAACAGTTGGAATTTGGGGCTAGAAAAACCATTGAGTACTCAGAGCTCAATGTAAGCTGTTCTGTGGGAACTTGGACGATAACATTGAAAGGCGTGGACAATGGAGGCTGGGCTTTCGAAGTTCGGAGGGAAGCAAAAACGATCAGGGCTGTTTGGATATTTTGAATTAAGACTATGTGGGCTCTGGTCAGCTCAGACTGAAGAATAAGCTGTGATTGACAATAGTCCAGCACTATGGCTGTGAAACCCTTACTGGGTTTCACAACTGATACTAGCTGGCTGGGGCCGAGGAATTGACTGTGATTTAGAGCTCAAAATCACTGTTGTGGGAACCTGTTATTACTAGCCTAGGCTTTCCCTGTTTGGGACATTGTGTGGAACCTAGTGCTGAGACTTCAAGTGTTCCAAATATTTCTATTTCTCCAGAGGGAAACCCCAGCATGAAGCTTGGAGGTATAGGTCCTCTGAAAATTATCCTAATTAGCTTTACTTCAAGAGCTAATCAAAGGCTACAGGAGCTACATGTAGTCTTCTATTCAATTAATCCTCGGATGTCCTGAGCTGGAGCACTTGAGAACATCATTCTATAGACCAGAAAACTGCCTGTCAAAGTGAGAAAGGCTTACCCTAAGTCACGCTGCAATGGGCCACAAGCTGGGATTACATACTATTAAACTAAATCCATTTTGGTCAAGGGGCTCAAAATTGCATTTGAGATGCTGATTCTCACTAGGTACCTGACTTTTGCTGCCAACCAAGGACTTGCCCCAACTTTGGACAGTGGCTGGAGTACAGAGCCTGGAAATTTCTCTGGTGCTAAACTCAGCATTCCAAGGAATAGTAGTGACGAAGTGCAGGAGTGCACAGAGTTCCAGGAGGGCAAACAGCAGTTGTTGTGGGAGAGGCAGGGGCAAATGACAGCAAAACAGGATGATACAAGCTCCAAGAGGCAAACAAGTAGTGTAGCTTTCTTGGGAATCTCTTATGATGGTTTCTGCTGGGAAACTGGCATTGCTAGACTGTAACTAAACATTTGAGGAATGGCTGAGAATTTGTTCTCAACTACACAACTAGCTAAGAAAATGGGCATTTCTCAGATGCTCTCAGCAAGGATAAATGGAGGATGTGTTCTATAAATGTGTCTTGAGAACTAGTATCACCTGGAATGAGCCTTGGTGGACACGTGTGTGTGTGTGTGTGTGTGTGTGTGTGTGTGTGTGTGCGCGCGTGTGCGCGCGCACGGCACTCATCCACCCATGCAAGCAGTCAGGTGTGGAGGCCTAAGGTTGATTTGGGCTTTCCTGTTTAGTAAGCCCCAGGGATTCACCTGACCCCATATCTCAATGATGGGGTTACAGGTCTATGTCACCATGCCCAGTTCTTAAATAGGGTCTGCTCTAGTCTTATTGCCTGCATAGCCAGTGCTTTAATAAGCCATCCCCCAAGTCCTGAATGAGATTTCTTTAATCCAGGACCTGTATCCCTAAGGACAACCCTTTAAACTCTTGAATTACTAGTTACCTCAATGAGAAAATGTGCTGACATAGCTCAGGCTGGATTTCCTACAACTGAACAGGTTTTTCATTCATCACTGTGTTCTGTTCAACTAGCATGCAGTTGACTGAAATTTCCCACACACATGTAACATTTCTAATTACACATCAGAACAAGTCATATAGTTAATGTTCCTGTTACTTAAATGTCTTTGACTTTAAGATTCAGGTCAATTAAGGGCACTTTCAGGCCTTACATCATCTAACAAGCTAAACATGGTCTTTCTTCCCCTGCCTTTTGCTCTGCATAATCCCCTTATGTCAGTTCAACTGTCACCTGTCCTGTGAAGCCTCAATTGTCCCTGTAGGAATAACCTGTTGCCATTTCTTATGATTACAGAAATCCTATGGTAGATAAGATGGCAGATGTTAACTCCTAAACTCACCCAAACTGCTAAATCCCTGCCTTCACTTAGTTATCTTACAAATTGTTTACTCAGCTGTATGCCAGACACAAGGATGAAGACGTGAGCATCATCACCTCATTTGGCATGGGAGGCCCAAGGGACAGCACTGAGCAGAGATACCGGGAACAATGTGCTACCACTAGAAAACACAGAAAGGGAACCAAGGGGGTAGGGTAGAAAGTACAAAAGTTGGATATGCAACATGCACAGTGAAGATGTATAAGTTATAACTATGGTCTGAAATGGAATCTAGGGTTAAAGTGAGACTTGGGAGATACTCATCTCATACCAAATGTCAGGGTGGCTGTGAGTAAAACCCTCATGGTGACAGGCAAGAGGTCAGAAAAAGCACACGATAAAAACAGAAGCCAGAATGGGAGGCTAGAGTAGCATACTACCCAACAGCAATAGTTCTATAGGCAAGGCAGCCAACTCGTTCAGTATAGATGCCTAATGAAAAGCACAGACAGGCTGGAGATGGCTCAGCTAATAACTGTCTCTGACACCCTCACATAGACATACATGCAGGCAAAATAATAATGCAAATGATACAAAAGTAAATAAATTAAAAATTAAAAACAAGAGAAGCACAGGCACCAAGAACTCTCTAACAGAAAAACCTGTGCCCCTGAAGGTGGGTTCACCTACTAGACATCCTTGTTGTCATAGCTGTTTCAATTAAAGGTCGAAGATTCAAAGGATCAGGCTGACTCCTACAAATGACCACAAAAGTGATGGGGGTGTATAAACCAAATGTTCCATTGTACAGTCATTCTGTGTGTAAGCTACATGGATCTAACCACACAACTAATGTCTACTGAGAACCCAGTCAGTGGATGGACACAGGATTGTTCCTCCTGCCTTTGCCATTGCAGGACACAGGCAGATGTTATGATGCTACAGGGAGACCACAGGAGGCAGTGAACTTCAGAACTTTATTGTGCAGGGCAGAGGACCACACTTCTGCCTGCCCACCCCCAAACTTTTACATTGTTATTGCTCTGAGATCCTGGTGACACCCTTTATGATCTCCATTGGAGTTTGAAGAGAGAATAACCACAAAAGCTCAAAGCTTCCTTCCTTAAACATGGGCAGTATTATTTACAGTTTACCTTTACACAAGAGGTGAAAACCACACTGGAATTTATCACTAAGCTAACTTAATATTGCCTTCTTAAATGTCTTTGCTACATATTTCTACTATTCTGGCAACTTCTTGTCCTTAATTTCGTGGTGTATACAATGTCTTCATCCTGTTTGGGAAGAAAAACACAACTCCTAAATAATGTGAAGGAACAATTTTTATGACCAACTCAACTCTATAAACCCCCAATCTTTACTAGGTATCATTTAGACGTCCACTCTAAAAATTAACTTTGAGGGGATGGAGAAATGGCTAAGTGGCTACAGGCTAATGCAGAGGACCTGAGTTCAATTCCCAGCACCCACATGGTGGCTCACAACCATCCAGGGGATTGGATGCACTGTTCTCACTGACTGCTGTAGGCAGACATGTCGTACCCATACATACAGGCAAAATACACACATTAAAAAAAAAAAAAAAAAGTTGGAAATAAATTTTACAGTGCTTAAAGTTGTCTTCCCCAAAACATTTTCTTACTTAGCCTTTTAAGTTTTGACTCTACTCCTTCACAAGTTTTTAACAACCATGACAGTTCACTAGTTAAAAAGCATCATTCTGAAAATATGAATCTGAAGGTGGCCTAGATGAAAACTTAAGTGTCCTAAAGATAACTTCCTGCAGAGGATGGTCACTATGTCCTGGGCTCTCCTATGTGGCTACAAGAGCATAGTGAGTCTTCTAAGGCAGTGGGGGAGATCTACCTGATGGGGATCGAATCTACAGGAAATAAAAGATTGACAATAGCCTCACAGAACAAATGACCATAAGTCATGGTACCCATAAACACAGGGCCCATGCAACACAAACCAGGAAAAGTCAAGGGTGATGTGGGGCATACTTTAGAAGCAGTTTTATGGGTGATCATGAACAGTAAGAAAAGGAGAGACAGAAAACAGGAACTCTAGAAGTATGAGGTTCACTGTAGGTAAGCAGATCTTGGTATGTGGATGGTGTTGAATTCTAGAAGACAGTAACAGGTAGCTGCTAACATGGGTCACCTGTATACATGATGATAGATAGGCACACAAATCAAACAAAAGGCTTGCTCCTATAGCACGTTGGCAGCACGGCCCCTGGAAAATACACACATTCCACATATGCAGTTTCTGCTTCTATGGACACACAGAAGCACATAGCTGGCAGACAGCAAAGAGTGCAGCCCTGGAAAAATGTAACAGTGTGGAGTCCCCTGGGTGCCTGTGGATGGGAAGAGGCCTGAGAGCCTATGACAGGATTACCCGGCCTGATCACTCTCAGAGCTTGGCAGTTGTGCTCAGGCTCACTCAAGTAAAAAGAGTGGGTAGGTTTTACTGCTTCCATTTCATTCTGAGAAAACACTTTCAAAATTATGAATCTATGCTTAGCATTCCTATTTAAAGTGGAAACGTGAGATGCACTGTTATCCCTATGAGGCAGAGTTTCTAGTCCTTTTGGTATCTATAAGAAAAGTTTGCCACCATAAGATAGCCCAGCTCCATTTCCTGGGTATCACCCTACTTTCTTGAGTGTCTCTTCATTCTTCTAGAGCAATGATTCTCAACCTTTGGGCTGTGACCCCTTTGAGATTGAATGGCCCTTTCATAGGAGTGGTATCCCAGATGTCCTACACATCAGATATTTACATTACAAATTATAACAGTAGCAAAATTAGTTAAAGTAGCAACAAAATATGGTTGGAGGTCACAACAATGTGGGGAACTGTTTTTAAAGGAACTGAACTAAAGGATAGCAACTTTAGGAAGGTTACAAACCACTACTCTAGAGCATTCTATCCTCATGTCCTTGACTTTCATGCCTTCTTGCTCACTCCCTCCAGCTATGCAGGATGTGTTGAGGCATTTGGCAAACCTGGTCTTCTTGTGCTGTTAGTCCTGCTGCTTGGTTTATTCTATTAGTGGTTAGAACTGGCCAACTTGGCCACAACTCTACCTTAGTAACTGTTGCTACTTTTATCTCATCTGTTGTCTCAAAATACATTATGTTTAGGTTCATATTGAATATTGAGAGCAATTATGTATCACTCCCACAAAGGTAACTGCCCACCCTATCTCTAACTTTTCCTAGAATATTAATGTAAACATGCCATTGGGCATGATGCACATCACCGAAAATACATTAGCTTAGATTCTGTGTGGTGAAACAACACACTTCCTACCGAGTAAAATTTACCTACTTCTATTTGCCTAGGAGATAGCCAAACCTGGGTTTATTCTGCCTTTTTGTTTATTTATTTTTAAATCAAACTTACTTATGTTATATATGTTCTGCCTTCATATATGTATATACACCATGTGCTTGCTTGATGATCAAGGAGATCAGAAAAGAACATCAGATTCCCTAGATCTAAAATTGTAGATGGCTGTGATACCCGTGAGTGCTGAGAATCCTATCTGGCTCTTCTGAAAGAACAGTTAGTGCTCTTAACTGTTAAGCCAACTCAGCAGCCCCTATTCAGATGTTTTAAAGGAAGTCTTTTGAGATCCAGGCTTTCTTTGTTTTAGTTAAGTGTTACTGACCTAGAGAGGCTGAAGATGTCATCCATAACCATGATAAGCATTATCACAAGAATCAGAAAGTAACATTAGACGAATGCATAGCTCTTCTGGAATGAAACCTTCCTTATTTACTATTTATTATTTGCTATTATTATTATTATTATTTACTATTTGAAGTGGAATTACTAAAACACACAACAAAGTAGGTAGGTGGTTTGGATGTTGGCTTTGCCCAGTAGCATAGCTGGGAGCTGCTGGTGTGTTCTGATTTGCCTTTGCAACCTGGGCATAATTATTATTCCCGCGTTGTAGAATGTAAAACAAGAGGGCCTTACCTTCTTTAGAACTTTTGTATCTTTCTTGGCACCCCGAGTTACTCTTGGCTTAGGTTCACTGTCCAAAGTGACTCCAGTTTTTCTGGATCTCAAACACCTGACATCTGAATCTCCACAGATGCCTTTCTCTTTCTGAGTCTTTACCAAGATTTCTACACCCGTCGCACTTGTTTTCTCTTCTGACGCATGAGGCGGGGGAATCTCACTCTGTCCTCCAGACCTCAAGCATGTCTTTTTCCCACTGACTTTGCCCCTGGATGTAGACTTCTTGGCTCCATCATCTGTGTTCTGCAGCTCAGTCTCCTGGGAGGTCTTCACAGTCTTCTCAGTTTTCTTTATCCCAGCCTTCTCTGCAGATGCACTAGCCTTGGGTGTTGGTTGTTTTTTATTGGTTTTCTTTTGGTTTCTGGAGGGCAGAGGCATTTTCTAAGGGAATGAGAAGACAACTACAAAATTAATTAAATCTCAAGATCCATTAAAAAAAAGTAAAACTAAAGAAAAAGGACCACAAATTTTATACTGATTAATTTACTAAGAGTCATTAATATATTCATGACAATGCCTTGGCTACTTTGTTCCTATAGAAAAACTATAATCTCTGATAAATTATAAATTCAGGGTGTCAATCATATCAAAAACATTCCAGTTCATACTATTGAGAATGCCCACCATACAGGAAGTAAATGGTCCTGTAATGATCACCAAGAAACAAAGGCCTGCAATCTGAGGGGTGCCATAAATGATGTCCCTGTTCCATTCCTTCTCAAGGATATATGAATCTTAGCACCAATTTTTTTTTGTTTTTTAAATAATTTATTTAAATATGTACACTGGTGTGAAGGTGTCAGATCCACTGGAACTGGAGTTACAGACAGTTGTGAATTGCCATGTGGGTGCTAAGAATTGAACCCAGGGTCCTTTGGAAAAGCTACCAGTGCTAAGACCTGCTGAGCCATCTCTCCAGCCCTGACACATGTGTTTATTTGATTACTGTCACATTCACAGAACTATACTGCTCACCTGTTATCTGATTAATTCTTCAAAGATACATACAATTTATTCATTCCCTGAGAACTACTACACTTTTAATTGGGTCTTATCCAGACAGGAAAACTTTAAGTAGTTAGTCTATTCCTTGTGCAAATCCACAAAGGATCAATGGCCAGTGCTATTAATGGTGGTAAATAGAAACAGTAAGGAAGGAAATAATTATTATAATGGAGTAAACTCCATTACGTACAAATAACTGCAGCAAAATGGGACCTATCCTTCCCAACAAGCACCCACTAAGTCCATCCCCATCACCTGGTCTGGATGGGCTGAATTTTCTACTTGGACTTCCTTTTCTTCCAGGATGTTGCTAATCTGCTCTTCCACTGGTTCAATTTTGTTTGACATGATTCTCAGCTGTTTCATCTTCACAGGCTCAGGTGACAGGTGCCTCTTGCTGAAAGCAGTCCTCTGTTTCTTAGGTGCAGGTTTCTCATCTGTTGGTTCTTGCTTAGGAGACAAAGAGCACAGCCCCCTGGTTCTTGAAATGCTTCCATCTCTTGCAGACTTCCTCTTGGGGGGCAGGGAAGTATTGCTTTTGCTTTGTGATTCTGCAGGATCTCTGATATCCACCACCATTTCCAAGGTTGTTTTCACAGTGTCCTCTTTAGAGGCCCTTAGCACTCTCCTGGATGTTCTCAGAGGTTTTATGGGGTCTGGCATTTGCTGGAGAGTGTTTTTAACGCTACTGGTGTCATGTCTTGGTTTCTCAGTGTGCTCTGACATTTGAGTTACTTCTTTGGAGTCATCCGGGACTTCAAGAGTTTTGACCTCATCCTTAGGTGCCCTTAGCTGCCGCCTCCTGCTGCCAGTTACAGTGGTAACTGTTTCTAATTTTTGCTTTCCAGGCTCTTCTGAAGCTTGGGTGTCTTTGTCATCAATTTCAGGGACTTTGTGGGATCTTGAAGTTTGCCTTGATGTTGGCACTGTCTTCCTGACTAATGAAGGCACTTCATCCAACTCTACTTTCCCTCGTCTGGTCCTGGGACGTCTTGGTGAGGTTTGGAGGCTGTCTATTTGTTCTGGTTGTGGAGAACTGAAGGGCATCTGTGTGGGTCTTTCATCATTTGCTGATTCCTCAGTATGACCTGGTCCTTTGGGACCAGCCAATTCTAGGCATTTTGCCCTTTCCCTGAGTACTCTCTGTGGCCTCTTGCTAACAGGCACACCTGTTGCTGGGTCAATCTTCTGCTTTGTGGACTCTCTAAGTTCCTCAACATTTCCACTATCACTCATGGACTCTTTTAGTGTATTTCTGGTTTCCCTGCCTGTTGGCTTTCTCTGTGCTGTGGGCTCTTCTTTCACATCTATTTTGCGCAGTCGTATTCTGAGCTGCCTCTTTGAGGCTACTGAGGTTTCCTTTTCTTCTGGTTGTGGAGATTTGCAAGATACTCTTGTGGCTGTTTCCTCTTGGATGCTGGGCAGCTCCTCTAAGGGTCCAGTCTTCTTATGTGTCCTTGATTGGCCCCTCTTGCTAGTTAAACTTACAGCTGGGTCTTGTTTCTGCATTGAAGATTCCTTCAATTCTTTGACATCTTTACTGTCACCCACAGGCTCTTTGTGTGTGTTTCTGGTTTCCCGTAACACTCTTGTCGTCTTTTTTTGAGCTATAGGCTCTTTGGTCACACCCACTCTCCTGAGTCTTCTTCCTGGCTGTGTCTTTGAAGTTGTGCCCATGGGCTCTGGAGATTTGCTGGGCATCTTTGTGGTTTTGTCTATAGTCACTGAGTCCACTGCTGAGCTTGGAGTTTGGAAGAGCTCTTGGAAGCCAGGCAGGTCCTCTAGGGTCTGTACTTTTTCCACTTCTGCAACTCGCTGCCTCTTGCTGCAGGGCACACTGACTGCTGTGTCCAATTTCCGCTTTACAGATTGCTTCCTTGTTCTAATGCCTTTGTCTTCACCTTCTGGTACTTTAGATATGTCCATGATTTCTCCTGACATTTGTGGAAGCATTCTGTCTCCTGACAGTTCATTTTCAACATGAAATTTCATCAGTCTAGTTTTGGGCTGTCTCTGTGAGATTATTGAAGTTTCTACTGGTTCCGGTGGTGGAGAGCTGTGGGGTATTTTTGTGAGCTTTTCAGCTGCCAATGAAGCCTCATCATAGCCTGGTGTTTGGAAGAGCTCCTGGAGACCAAATAGATCTTCTGGAGACTGAGACCTTTTCTTACATGCCCCTCGCTGCCTCTTGCTGCGAGTTACACTTACTGCTGTGTCCAATGCCTGAGCTGCAGATTCCTTCAAAGATTTGGTTCCTCTGCCACCATCTACTGAAAGTTTGGATGCATGCATAACTTCCAGTGATGAACATCTTGGTTTACTCAGCAGAGAGAGCTTTTCTTTCACATCCACTTTCCCGAGACTGGTCTTGGAGAGTCTCTTTCTGCTTGCTGGGGTTCTGACTGATTCTACTTGTGCAGATTCCAAAGACAACTTTGTAGATTCCTCAGCAGTCACTGGATTACAGGCTCCAACTGGAGTTTGGAAGAGTTCTTGGAAGCCATCTAGGTCTTCTAGGGGTTGAGCCCTGTTCTTTGGTGCCTGTGACCTTCTCTTGCATCCTGTTGAGTTCCCTATGAAGTCCTTTTTCTGCTTTGGAGTTTCCATAATGAATGTGCTGTCAGTATCTTCCAACACAGATGCTGTGGGTATGTGTGTGATTCTACCTGGTGACTTTGTTTGTTTCCCAGGGGTTGACAACTCTTCTTTCACATCCACTTTCCTGAGATCGGTCTTGGAGAGTCTCTTTCTGCTTGCTGGGGTTTTGACTGGTTCTGCTTGTGCAGATTCCAAAGACAACTCTGTAGTTTCCACAGCAGTCACTGGATTACAGGCACCAACTGGAGTTTGGAAGAGTTCTTGGAAGCCATCATCCAGGTCTTCTAGGGGTTGAGCCCTGTTCTTAGGTGCCTGTGACCTTCTCTTGCATCCTGTTGAATTCTCTGTGGAATCCAGTTTCTGTTTTGGAGTTTCCACAAAAGCTGTGCTGTCACTCTCTTCCAACACAGATGTTGTGGGTATGTGTGTGGCTCTGCCTGGTGACTTTGTTTGTTTCCCAGGGGTTGACAGCCCTTCTTTCACATCCACTTTCCTGAGATCGGTCTTGGAGAGTCTCTTTCTGCTTGCTGGGGTTTTGACTGGTTCTGCTTGTGCAGATTCCAAAGACAACTCTGTAGTTTCCACAGCAGTCACTGGATTACAGGCACCAACTGGAGTTTGGAAGAGTTCTTGGAAGCCATCTAGGTCTTCTAGGGGTTCAGGCCTGTTCTTTGGTGCCTGTGTCCTTTTCTTGTGTCCTGTTGAATTCTCTGTGAAATCCAGTTTCTGCTTTGGAGTTTCCATAATGAATGTGCTGTCAGTCTCTTCTAGCACTGATGCTGTGGGGGTGTGTGTGGCTCTGCCTGGTGACTCTGTTTGTTTCCCAGGGGTTGACAGCTCTTCTTTCACATCTATGTTACCAAGACCTGTCTTGGAGAGTCTCTTTCTGCTTGTTGGAGTTCTGATAAGTTCTGGTTCTGAAGATTCCAAAGACGCTTTTGTAGTTTCACAAACAGTCATTAACTCTTTTTGACTAGCTGGTGTTTGGAAGAGCTCCTGGAGACCAAATAAGTCTTCAGGGGACTGAGACCTTTCCTTATGTGCCCTTTGCTGTTTCTTACTGCGAGTTACATTTACTGATGTGCCCAGTGCCTGAGTTCTCAATTTCTTCAGATCCTTGTTCCGTCTGCCATCTTCTGAAAGACTGGGTATATGTAGACTCTCCCCTGCAGCACGCCTTGTCATATGCAGTGAGGAGATCTCTTCTCCCACACCTACTTTCCCAAGACTTGTCTTGGCTAGTCTCTTTGAGGTTTGTGGGGTTCTAACAAGTACTGGTTGTGGAGATTTCAAGGACATACTTGTTCTTTTGTTACCAATTACTGGATCAATGCTGTGGTCTGGTGTTTGGAAGAGTTCTTGGAAGCCATCAAGGTCTCCCAAGGGTAGGACTTTTTCTTTAGGTGGTCTTTGCTGTCTTATAAGCCCAGTTACATTTGCTGCAGTCTCTAGTTTCCCCTGTGGAATCTTTATAATTGCTTGTATTCCATTATCCTGCTGCACTGATGCTGTGAGGGCTTTGCCTGGTGACTGCTTCCAGAGTGCTGAAAGTTCTTCTGTAACATTCATTTTCCTGAGACTCATCTTGGGCAGATTCTTTCTACTGGTTTGTCTTCTAACTGGTCCTGACTGTGGAGTTTTGGTGAGGATTTTTGACATTTCACCAATAGACACTGAATCTTTAGCATGCCCTGGTGTTTGGAAGAGCTGTTGCAAACAACTCAGTTCTTCCAGGCATGGTGTCTTATTCTTAGATGCACATCGCAGCCTCTTGCTGCCAGGCATACTAGCTGCTGGTTCCAGTTTCCGCTTTAAAGATTGCTTCGATGTTCTAATGACATTGTTATCATCAGGTTCTTGGAGTGTGTCTATGAGCTTTTCTATTTGTGGGTGTTTCACTGATTCTGAAAGTTCTTCTTTTATTTCCATTTTACCCATACTTGCCCTGGACTGTCTCTTTATGCTTTTGGGGGATATTGCAGGTTCTGATTGTAGAGCATTGACGGACTTCTTTTTGCTTTTGCCAACAGCCAATGGGCCATTGCCATAGTCTGGTGTTTGGAACAGCTCCTGAAGTCCAAATAGGTCTCCTAGAGATTGGCCCTCTTCCTTAGGTGTTGTAGGCTGTTTCTTAGACCCCCTTAAAATTCCTACAGGCTCCAGTTCCTGACTTGAAGTTTCCATAATTGCTTTTATCCCTTTTTCCTGCTGCACTGGTGCTGTGGGTGTGTGCGTGGTTCTGCCTGGTGACTTTGTTTGTTTCCCAGGGGTTGACAGCTCTTCTCTCACATCTGCCTTACTAAGACCTATCTTGGAGAATCTCTTTCTGCTTGCTGGGGTTTTGACTGGTTCTGCTTGTGCAGATTCCAAAGACAACTTTGTAGTTTCCTCAGCAGTCCCTGGATTACAGGCACCAACTGGAGTTTGGAAGAGTTCTTGGAAACCATCCAGGTCTTCTAGGGGTTCAGACCCGTTCTTTGGTACCTGTGACCTTCTCTTGCATCCTGTTGAATTCTCTGTGGAATCCAGTTTCTGCTTTGGAGTTTCCATAATGAATGTGCTGTCAGTCTCTTCTAGCACTGATGCTGTGGGGGTGTGTGTGGCTCTGACTGGTGACTCTGTTTGTTTCCCAGGGGTTGACAGCCCTTTTTTCACATCCACTTTCCTGAGATCGGTCTTGGAGAGTCTCTTTCTGCTTGCTGGGGTTTTGACTGGTTCTGCTTGTGAGATTCCAAAGACAACCTGTAGTCCACAGCAGCACTGGATACAGGCACCAACTGGAGTTGGAAGAGTCTGGAACCACCAGGCCTAGGGGTGAGCCGCTAGGTGCCTGGACCTCTCATGTCCGTTGAGCCTATGAAGTCCTTTCTGCTTTGGAGTTCCTAATGAAGTGCTGTCACCTCTTCCAACACGATGTTGTGGGTTGTGTGTGGCTCTGCCTCGTGACTCTGTTTGTTTCCCAGGGGTTGACAGCCCTTCTTTCACATCCACTTTCCTGAGATCGGTCTTGGAGAGTCTCTTTCTGCTTGCTGGGGTTTTGACTGGTTCTGCTTGTGCAGATTCCAAAGACAACTCTGTAGTTTCCACAGCAGTCACTGGATTACAGGCACCAACTGGAGTTTGGAAGAGTTCTTGGAAGCCATCCAGGTCTTCTAGGGGTTGAGCCCTGTTCTTAGGTGCCTGTGACCTTCCCTTGCGTCTTGTTGAATTCTCTGTGGAATCCAGTTTCTGTTTTGGAGTTTCCACAAAAGCTGTGCTGTCACTCTCTTCCAACACAGATGTTGTGGGTGTGTGTGTGGCTCTGCCTGGTGACTTTGTTTGTTTCCCAGGGGTTGACAGCCCTTCTTTCACATCCACTTTCCTGAGATTGGTCTTGGAGAGTCTCTTTCTGCTTGCTGGGGTTTTGACTGGTTCTGCTTGTGCAGATTCCAAAGACAACTCTGTAGTTTCCACAGCAGTCACTGGATTACAGGCACCAACTGGAGTTTGGAAGAGTTCTTGGAAGCCATCTAGGTCTTCTAGGGGTTCAGCCCTGTTCTTTGGTGCCTGTGTCCTTTTCTTGTGTCCTGTTGAATTCTCTGTGAAATCCAGTTTCTGCTTTGGAGTTTCCATAATGAATGTGCTGTCAGTCTCTTCTAGCACTGATGCTGTGGGGGTGTGTGTGGCTCTGCCTGATGACTTTGTTTGTTTCCCAGGGGTTGACAGCTCTTCTTTCACATCTGTGTTACCAAGACCTGTCTTCGAGAGTCTCTTTCTGCTTGCTGGAGTTCTGATATGTTCTTGATATTGAGATTTGTTGGGCATTTTTGTGATTTTGTCAGCAGGGACTGGTGATAGAAAGAGTTCCTGGAAGCCATCAAGGTTTTCCAAGGGATGAGCCTTTTCCTTAGCTTTTCCTACCGATTTCTTTCTACCAGTTATAGTCAGGTTCAGCATTTGATTTTCAGAGTCCTTCAAAGCTTTGATGGCCCCATGTTCCAGTTCTGGAATTTTAGGGGTGTACCTAATTCCTCCTGACATGTCTACAAACTTCTTTATTGCAGAGTGTTCTTTTATCTCCACTTTCTTTCCAGAATTGCTGGGCCGTGGTTTTGTGCTTGTTTTGGTGTTCTCTGGTGTATGTTGTGGGGACTTGCAAAGGACTTTGGTTTTCTCATCACGTATGGGTTTGTCTCTACAGTTTGGTGTTTCAAAAGGCTCCTTGAGACCAGCTGGGCCTTCTAGAGCTTGTGTCTTTTTGTCAGGAGTCCTTGACAAGCGCTTTACTTTGGTTGCATATGCTAGGTCTCCTTTCTGTTTTGTAGCTCTTTGACCATCACTTATTGATGCGTTTTGCACGCGCATGGATTCCTCTGGTGTTTCTGTGGTTCCCTTTACTTGATTAAGTAGTTCCTCAGCACAGGCTACTGTTTGGGTGACCACTTGACTTCCTATTGAGTCTTTTCTTGACTTCTGCTCCTTAGTGCATGATCCCATAGCTGATGTTTTTTCTGGAACTTCTTTTAATTTAACAATTTCCTTGGATCTTTGTGAAGTGTTTTCACTGTCCTGCATCTGTTGATCCACTTCTTGTTCTTGCAGTGATGTCTTTCTTAATTGTCTTCCTGTGATACCCTCAGTAAGGCCTGTTTCTGTGCTTTCATGCACACTTTCTACAAATGTATGTCTAAGCTCTCTAGACCTTAACTTGTTCACACTGGATACTGTCTTCAGAAGCTCTGTAACAGAGCCTGGATGAGTAATATCATGGATGTTCTTAGGAGTTTGCACTGTTTTTCCATTTTTGATGCTCCTCTGCCTTAAAGTAGGACTTGCAAAACATTCATCAGATAGTTCCTTTGCTGCATTCCGAGTACTGGAGAGCACATTTTCTCCTATAGGTAACAAAATATATTTATATAATAAATATGTATTTCCACCATCTAAGGTCAACTTAGATTTTATCTTTAGGAAGTGTATAAGAACCAATAATTTAGTTTCTTATAATAAGCTACTACATGATCTTAATCCTGTACCATAATATTATTTGATAACAGAGCAGGTCCTTAAGAAGCCCCTTTTAAAGGCTGCCATGACATGTGACATGGACCTGAATACAGGCAATTTTTGTTCTGACACATCAGGAAACATTTATTATTTTTACTCACTAATGAAGTGGCAAGTTCTATCGTGTATGTTTAGGGCCTTATATGTAATCAGCAATGACCTTCTCATCCCAAGTACTGGGATTACAGGCAGGCATCACCACACCAAGATTTTGCAATATTAGGGACTGAATCCAAATTTTCCTGTGAGGCAGGCAAGCACTCTACCAAATGAGTTGCATCTCTATCCTTGCAATAATTCTTAACTTGTATAATTAATATATGACAGGCCAAGTGACTGTGCTCCAATCCTCTTATAACAAAAAAGTTAAAAGCATATAGACATCATTTAAACTTATTAACTGAGTCAATAATTCTTCTAAGCTATGCTAGTGACTAATGTTAGTAAAACTGCAAAGCGTGCTGGAGAACAGAGAAGGTGGAAATGGCCATTTCACCAAGGAAAGCTATTGTACAGAAGGAATATAGTATTGTCCATAAAGAAAAAAGTCATCTTTAAGTCCCCATTCCAAAGTTTAATAGTGGAAATAGACAAATACACCAACCCAAAATCTCTGAGGTGCCAGGCAGAGACTTGTGTGCTAAATTAGTTACTTGAAACTGTTTTTCAGGCAAATTCTCTGAATTTGAAAGAATGGAAGCCATATCATTCATCTGCTGCTGCTTCTCTTTCACTGGTGTCTTGAACATTTCAGTTAGTCCTGATAAAGAAAAATATTGAAAACATGGCTTACATTACCCCATTCCCCATTCAGTTAGATGACAGAGAAGTTCTCAGATTTCAGGTATGCATCATCTCATTAAAATGGTGATTTTGCTAACATGCTTATTAAAAGGGGGGCGTGAATGAGACGCTAAATATATCCAGTTTCTCTAATCCCCTCCTATGGGAAAGGAAAGCAAAGCAAGTGATTTGGTTGACCGCTGTAGTCTTCTAAGCTAGTTCCCAACAATAAGTCCCGGCAGGGGGACAAAAGCAGGGGACATCTGCCAGGAATCAACAACCTAAGAGCCTTGTTCTGTGAATTTCTCAGGATCTAAATCCTATGTACAAATAATGTGTGCCCACACTGAAGAATACTGACAGAACACTGACCATTTTCAGTGCTATCAAGTAACAAACACACACACACAGACACACACACAATACTCTAAGTGCCATCTCATTCACTTTAAAACCAAAAAGGCAATAGTGACATAACTCCATATGGAAAATTAAGCTTCCTGAAAAGCTCATATGCCATGCCCCTGTCCTTTGGCCACCACAGAATGAAAGTTGAGCTGATATTCACTACAGAATGGGTCTGAGAACCACTAAAGTGTCCATCCACATTAGTCTGTTCAGCTAATCTCCTTCTTTCATGGCCACCTAGGGTTTACTTTCTAGTATTTTAAAATGGAAGTTGCCAAGTCAGACATGGCAACCCTAAGAAGGTAGAAGCAGGCAGATCTCTGTGGGTTTGAAGCAAGCCTGGATACTTAACTCTGTCCCATGAAAAAAAGAAGAGGGTATAGGGAGAGCTGCCTATACTAAGGGATAAAACTTGTCTGACTCTAAGAATGGGTCTAGGAAGAAGGAACATTTAAGATACTCCACTGTCTTAGGCACGCACCATGTATTTAAAAATCTTATTTGAGTTTTTAAAAAATATTATACATACACACATACATATAAAATCACACACATGCATTTCTCTACTGTTTTAACTTTTACTTGTATAATGAATCGATCCAAATAAAGCTCTTTTAGGGGATACTCACAAACATACACTAAGGTGTTTGGTCATTTTCAATGCCTAATCTATAAAAGTAAGTTTCTACTTACTCAGTTCAAATCTTAATTCTCTTTCAAATTATATAACTAGAAAGTATCACATATTGAGGAACATGAAACAAATATGTTTTCTTGAGAGTAAGTCTAAACAGCCAGTCACACTTTCACTGATACTCAAAACAGAGTGGAACAGTTCAATTATCAGTGGCTCAAAAGAACATTCTTTCATAGCTCCTTCTCAGCAAGCAGTTAAGCTCTCTAAGAAAATGAATCTTGAAGAAGCATTAATATTGCTCTAAACCAACGGATTCCCTCGAATCAGCCATCAGTGCAACTCTCCAGTTAGTAATAGAGCCCTTTGCCCTCACACTGCAAAGCAACTTTCCATTTTCAGTACACATGCGACTCACTAGAGGGTATGCATTTGAGATTTACATCACTGATTCCTGTAGGACACTGATCCCCTGAATGGATGGAGACCTATTCTCTATTTCTAACCAACTTCATCTTTGAATATTACAAAACCAGAAAGCTGGTTCAATTGTTTGATACACTCACTGCCACTGAGCTCCCAGATGGTTGATTATAAGGGGTGGGTGGGGTGGAACTAACAAACACCAAGGAAGTCACAAACAGAAGGACCAAGAAGTTTGTGACTACAGATGTTCAGGATACATTTACCTGACAGATCTTCATTGAAGTCTATTTTCTGGTTTAACATCAAGTTGTTAAGCATTTTGTAAGGTCGAGCAGGCATGCTTGCTTTTTCAATCTGAGCTCTCCCTATTACAATGGTACAGGGAGAGTTTGCATGGCCTGTGCTAAACTGATTGTGAAGGTTGCTTGTAGGTTTCTATAACAAAAGACAAAATATCACAGCATGAACAATATATGCTTAAGACAACTGAGATTATAAGCAGTGCATGGCCGGAGTACTGTACCTTTGGAGTATTAGGTCTTCTTTGTCTTTTGCTCGTCTGCTTTTGAGGAACATGTTTTACAACTTTCGTCTGTGTTTGTTTTGCACCAAGTTTTACAACATCTGCCCATGATTTTGCAACTGTCAAAAGGAAAAAATTGTAAAACTTTTCAAAACTCAGCACAAGAAAATTGAGCTTGAAATATTTCGCCCAGAACACCACTAACCAATCAAGTTGGCTTCAGAAGCCCCACTTCTTCTCTTGGAGCAAATCATCTGTAAAATGTCATGCTGACTTCGGCTGATGGATGCTCTCTTGGCAGGCAGGATGCCACTCTTCCTGCCTGCTTTCTTGGGAGTGTCTGTCTGATGTAAGGATTTGTTGTCACTGGAAGCAGACAAGCTCCTCCCCGATCTGCGTCTTTGATCGTTTGCTGTTGGTGGCGTTATTCCAGGAGACTCTAGTTTCCCTGGTGACTGAGGCCGTTCCTGACAAAGTAGAGTTGTTGCTTATAAGAAATTTGACCAAAGAGGCAACATCTCTGTAGTGTCTATTAAAAACCTTTACAACAAACCATGTAGCTTTTAAGCCCTGTCTTTCTAAGATAAGAAAGGGGTCAGTTGTCCCATTCATTTAACCAGAGGAAGGGGACATGCATCAGTGAACAAAACTGGGACATTGCTCAATAAAACAAGGCACTCTGATTTTAGCCCAGCCAACACCAGCCCTGGAGTCTGCAAGGAAGGGACTGTTCACTTCTGGGAAGTGAGACAAGGTAGGAAGATAGGACGGGATTAAGGGGGGGCCAATCAGTCCTTTTGGTACTAACAGAATAAAGCTGTCCTGGGCCATTTTAGGAAATTGAGCTATGCAGCCACACCAAGAAAAAGCAACAAAACGACGACAGAAGGGCAAAGGTCTAAGGAGCTGAATGTGCAGAAGAGAGGTTTTACCAAAAGATTATCTATCCTTCCTGCAACATCAATGACCCTATACTTCCAGAAGAAAACAAAACAATCCTTGTGATCACATATGCTGTTGTCTTCATATTTTTAAATGGTGTCAGTGTGCCCCAGGAAGTTATATGACCCTGTGAATGTTATCAGGTTCTTCTTCAAAGAGAAAGTGCCCAGCATACCACCTCACCTCCCAGAACCACCTGAGAGCCCATATGGTTGTTTCTGGGCATGAGGTAAGTGGTAGAAAAATAAGGTCTCCATTGCCATTCTACCTCTGCCTGAGTTTTGGGTGAAACGTGAACCATCTGTGAGCTATGAGGTATAAACACAATGCCAACTGTCCAACTTACCTTGATGATTTTCTTCAGGACAGCTGGAGTGTGAATGGCAAGTGATTTCCTCTTGGTTGTTGGTGTTTCTCCTCTTTTGAGTGGTGTATTAGGAGGTAAGTTTTCATCAAACAGTTCAGGTCTTAGACGACCACCAAAGGATACACGTCTTTTCTTCAAAGACACTCCCTCACCCTTGTCTGAAGTAAGGAATACAAACATGAAAAGAGCAATATAAATGCTGCTCCAGGACATGGGATTTAATTTAAACTAGCATTAGAAAGGCATTGAAAAGGCACTGAAACATGGCACCTTTATTTATAAAACTGATGAAGGGCAAGCAGCCTCAAGACTTCCTAAAAGATCTCAGGAGAAACCAGAGGCATAGCACTTAAACCAGACAGAACCAGCATTCTCCTTAAAACTGAAAATTGCATGTAAAATAGCTTAAGAAAGTTATCTGCAGCAGAAAGTCAGAACCTGAGCAATGGCCTGAAAAATGTATGAAATTGACACACATACTTGGGCCAGACCTAGACCTGACTTATGAGTAAACTGTATGAGCAGATAAAAATCTCTAGGTAGTATCTGTGGGCAGTGCATGCAACCCAAACCCCATTATACAACTTCATGAACAGTCTACATAAACCAGAGAATACATTCCATTATTAAGTTCAATGGAATACCAGCTGGTAGTTACAAGTGTCAAGGAGGGACAGCCACATCAATGGCCACCAGCAGAAACTACATGATATAAAGATTGTTGCACTGGAGGCTAGAGAGTTTTTGTTTCTGTAAGCCAGCATGAAACAGGTGTTTAGGAAGATACCACAAGGTTACTTACTATGTAGCCTTGGGTTGTCAGTTTATAACAGGAAAGAGAATGCTTTCTCTGGGTAGTGAGATGGCTCTGCAGGTAAGGGTGCTTTGCTGCCAAGCTTAAGTACCTGGGCTCAATCCCTGAGACCAATATGGCCTATGGTAGAAGGAGAGAACTGACCCCCTACAAGCTGTCCTCAGACTCCTGCATAAGGACCATGGCACCTGCTTATACTTACACAAATAAGTAAATGTAATAAAAAATTGAGAAACCAAATGTTAATGTCTTGGAAGCATGTAGAACTTTGCTGGTATAAAAACCTGAGTCCATTCCAGTTTTAATAGTAAAGTGCTTATAAGCGATTTCAACAGAGCGTGGAACACCCAAGGGCCACTGGATGTTCAACGATGTTCAAAGGACTGCCCATGGTTTATTCCCAAGGACCAACCTCACAAAATACAACTGGTATTCAGAACCAGAAGTTAAGTGAAAAGCCATTAAGATTATACCCCTTACTTTGTAAAAGAAAATCACATTGTCCTGAAGTGGTCCCCCCCCCCAACTAGCTACACCTGTTATTCCTCCTTATAAAAGGCAAAGTCTTCAGTACCCATACTCCAAATAAACACCTTGTTAACTCATAATACATAGGGTAGATATTAACCTATTAGGTACAGTATCTACAGTTAAACAACTTACTAATAGAGTCACCAAAGTTGCTGATATCAACAGAACTAAGACCAGGTAGCCCAGAGCAAATCTGCTCAGCTGCTGTGGCCAATTTCTCAGGCTTGTTGGACTCCTTTGGAGTTTTCTTTTCACCTGGAGCAAGATGCTGAGTTGAAGAGAACCAGTTTTGTGTTTCTGCAGACAGTACTTCTACTTTTGCAGAAATACTCCTCCTCTTTCTGGAAAAGAGATTTTCTGGCTTATCAGCAGGGCTGGCAGCATCTTCAACTTTCACTGGAGTCTGGTTTCTAGTTCCCAGCTTCCTGGGGGTGACTATTTTCTGAACTGCCTTGGCACCTTCACTTTCGTCCAGATTCACAGACTCTCTTCTGCCACTAACATGGAAGTCTTCATTCTTAAGTTGCTGTGAAGTCCGCACAGGGGTCTTCGTTTTAGCTGTCGCAGTGAGAGAGACTCTTGAACTCGGAGCCTCTGTGGAAGTCTGAAGAGGCCCCTCAGCACTGCTCTGGTTCTCACTCCAGATCTTCCCTCCCTTGGGTGACAAAGCGGCAGTACCAGGGGTGCTTCCACTGGATTTTGCTCTTGACTTGCATGACACCAACAGCTTTGTCTCCCATGTTTCCTTTCCTGCTGCACATTCAGGTTGTGGTTCTGATTTCCTACGAGACGGTTTTTGTGATTTTATATCCAACTCTTCCTTCATTGACTGATAAAGTTTCTCAAAGGGAGATTCATTTTTCTTGCTGTTGCTAAGACTATGTGCAGGAGAAGACTTCAGTTCCCTGTAACTACTCCCTGAAGCCCTGGACTTCTTAAAAAGATCACCAGAAATGGGCTCTCCTATGTTTCTGCCACTGTGCTGTTCTACATGCTCTGAAGAACAGGTATTGGATGGATCTTGGGTAACATTGTCCTTTGAGCCATCTGAGGCAGAACTGTCTCCAGGAAGTTTCTTGGCATGTACCAAAGATCTTCTTGAAGCAGTGGTCTTTGAAGCTTTGGCATCTTGACCTTTTCCATCTTGGTAATAAATATGAAATAAGAAACAGAAGTTTAACATTTTCTCAATGACTACCATTTTTGGAATCTAGTACCTGATTTTAGATTGCTTTATAACTTAGCTTTTCATTTAGGTCACAAATTACTTAATTCCTTACACTTGTCTTATAATGTTATTTCCATCCAGATTAAACATACTAGCTTTGAATAACCAATGATGTTAACATATCCCACTGGACAACTCAAGATTAAATGGACAACTAAAAAAGTAAGCACTAGGGAAGAAGTTATTCAGCCACCTATCTGCTTTGGTTTAGCATGTTAAATGGAACCAGGCTCTTAAGAATTTGGGAGACCAGGAATTTCATGCCTGTATACCCATGAACCCACCCTTGCCACTATCATACTGTTGATGCTGACAGTCCCAGAACAGAAACCAACCAATACCAACCAGGGTCATCAGAGAAGCTAGCACTCGAGGCTCGCCGCACCGGTTCCTACAAATTGGGAAGAACAGGAATTTAAGTGCCTTTCTTAATGTGATCATGTTGAAACAATGAAATTGTTCCTTTTATTAAGTATATTCTTTGGCAAAGTGCTTCTTCTTTATGACATTTAGAGACCTGAGATCCAAGTGACTTGAAAGTTAGTAGTCATGACCTAAACACTTCTGGCTGACTTAAGAGCTTTCTTTTTTGTTTTAAGGTTTTTGTATTTATGCATATGTACATGTCTAGGCACATTTGTGTGGGTTCCTGTGGAGGTCAGAAAAGAATGTTGAATTCTATGGTAGCTAGAGTTACTGGTGGTTGTTAGCTGACTAATGAGGGGGTCAGAAACTGAACTTGGATCCTCTGGAAGAACAGAGAACACTCTTAACCTCCAAGCCCTCTTTATCTCCTAACATCACATGAAGGAAGAAACAAAGTTAAAATTAAGTTCCTCCATCTGCTAAGTCGCCACAGGCACAAAACTATAGGTTCCATAAGTTTCACAGGAAATGCTCCCAGGATGTGCTAAACTGCAGCTCCATGAGTACCTGTGCTCCTATTCCTGGCAGGTATCTGGTGTGTATCAGAGTCAGAAAGTTAAGGCACAGAAAAGAGTAGCACATCCACAGGCCACTTCAGAGACTGAATAGCAAATCCAATACTCTTTCTGAACCAATAGACAGCCCCTACACATTCTGCAATATGGAATAAATTTGGTTGGAGGTGAAGAATGTATGTTTGTGAATGTTGTAAACAGAGTTGATATTAGGTATCTTAACTGCTCACTACCTTATTTCTTGGGACGGGTACAAGACTAAACCTACAACTTCACCAATTTGGCTAAACCAATTCCACCAAACACCAAGATTCCTATCTCTGCCACCTCAGTGATAGGGATTATAGGTATGTGCTACAATACCTGTGACACCCAGTTTTTACAAAGGTTCTAGGGGATCAAACCTCAGATACACATGCTTTCAGAAACAGCACTTTATACCCAGCTATCTTCCCAGCCCGGTAATGTTTATATGATTATATTAAACAGGCATGAAATTCCTATTACATTACTATGGCACTATACATACTGAATTTTAGCACTTAACAGACTAGTAAGCAGACAAACAGTTCATCAACCATTGAGTGGTACACTTGTCTACCCCATAGATCTGCAACTACCAACAACTTTCCTTTTTAACACCTATTAACAAGTTGAATTGTGGCTGGTGTGTGGGATACCTCAAAATAGCTTCCACCCTAGGTTGATGAGAACTGGGCTCTTCTAAGGAAGAAGCAGTATTTAACATTACAGAGATATTGAAGGAAAAGTGTTTGTTGCTAAATGCAGGCAAACTCTAGGGCTCCTAATTCAAGAGACTGCAGCTAACTCATGGTGTTATTTTGCTGATATTCTCAAATGATGTAATTTCTTCCTTCACATGGCAAACACAAAACTCACTTCCTTCTAAACTAGAAAGTTTCTCCAGCACTTAGTTTTCACAATTTAATTATTTTAGACACACAGAGATGGACAGGTACAATGAATAGGAGACAAAATGACTCATGAGATATCTTTTATATTCCTGTTGGTTCTCAAACCTGAGACAAATGGCTAACCCATCAAAGCCAATATTAGTCACCATGTTCTCCCAGCATCGCCCAGTCTCTACCTGTTAAAAGGTCCTCCTGGCTGCATACCCCACCCACTACCCTAAACTTCTTTAGCTCAGGGACTAGGCTGCCCACCCCAAGCTCCTCTGGCCTCTATATAACTCAACCATGTTAGCTCTGCCAGTCTCTTGGCCCCAGCCACCCCTCTCTGGTGAACCTCCTCTTCCACCATACCTAGGAGCAGCCATCTTCTTCCTTTTTCATCTCTCTTTTTTTTTTTTTCATTCAATTTCTAGTATTCAGACTACTCTAACCATGGGTTTATAAGATCACAACACAGGTCTAGCAGAATAGAAGACCAAGTTAGTGCTCTGTTTTTGAATAGCAAAAAGAAATATTATTTTAGTTATTTTTGCTATGTTCACGGTCAATTATTTCCTTATTTTGTTATTTACATATTTCTGCTATAATCAGAAAGCCATTCTTGGCCACCAATATGAAATTGAGAAATCAGCTGTTAAAACATATAAATGAGTTCCCATCATGACAAAAATCAAAAAAAAAAAAAAAAATCAAAGTCAAACCTGAATATTTCCCCTCACCTGTCCAAGTGATTTTTCTGGAAATCCTGTTGATCTGCTTCCATCCTCATGATTTCCATTTTCATACCTACAGTACCCAGAGAATCAGGAGAAGGATTTGAACCTCCATGTTCATAGGTTATAGATAACTTTGGTACCTCAGTGAAATGGTCTAATTTGAATTAGATGCTGTCTATGTAAGATCTAAAGACAACTAGCATGTGGAACCCTCCTCCAAGCTATCACAGTGCTAAACAAAGCCTCTTTTAAAAAGTCTAGTCAATAAAAAGTTCCTTCAAATGGTTCATAGAGACAAAGGACATTTTATAAGGACTTAAAGGTAAATCCACCAAGATGTTGAATCTAAGAAAATAGTCTATTTAAAGAATAACCACTTGGGTCGGGCAGTGGTGGCGAGTTCCAAGCCAGCCTGGTCTACAGAGTGAGTTCCAAAAAGAAAAGCTACATAGTGAAATGCTATCTTGAAAAAACAAACAAACAAAAAGCCACCTGGGAGCTGGAGAGATGGCTCAGAGGTTAAAAGCATTGCTCTTCCAAAGGCCCTGAGTTCAATTCCCACAAACTACATGATGGTTCACAACCATCTGTAATGTGTCCTCATCTGGCACACAGTGTAGGCATACATGCAGGCAGAACACTATATACATAATAAATAAAAAAAATCTTAAAAAAGAAATAAAGAAAAGCACTCAACAGTGCTGTAAGACAACAAAAGCTGTAAGAATTATAAATAATTGAAATTAAGGGAGTAGAAAAGTTGTGCTATGTAAGCATTAATCAAAAAGAATTGAGTTTACTTATAAACTCAATTTAGAATTATGATCAGGGGTCCACAACCATATATCTGGGTGTAGCATCAAAAAATATAAAACAAAAAGTGACGGAGAAAAGAAATTAATAAAAGAAAAATAAACAAGTCCTCAGTGGGTGATTTCAATATATCTCTGAAACTATTAAGCAGGGAAATATAAAATAATTCCTAATAATAGAATTTAACAGGTCTAAAGTTAGCATAGTGCATTCAATAGTTGCAGAATACCACTCTCAAGTACAGGAAGTGGGTCGCAGTTGATCACAAAGAAAGCCTTGGCAAATTTCAAGTGGAAATCACTCAAATGCCCATAAGAACAAATAATAGTGAGTACTTTTATACATTACTATGTGTATTGTGAATGTTAATGAAATACCTACACTGTGAGAAAAAAAAGGCAAAGGCATCCAACATTCTATATATAAATCACACACACAAGAGCAACAGTCAGGCACAGACACATAAGAATTCTATGCTAACTACAGTGTTTAGAGGCCCACCAGCAGGGAACAAGACTGCAAAGATACTTTTCTCTTACAGTCTCCATGGTGGCTTCTTAGTAAGAGAAAAGTTATGATTAAACAGTACAAAAGAAACTTGTAGAAATTTCCCCTGTGACTTGGTGGTAGTGTATTAGTCTGTTAGGATTGCCATAATTACAACACAGAGTGCCTTAAATGACAGAAATGTCCTGCTCACAGTTCTGGCTGGAAGTCCAAGTCCAAGGTGTCTGCAGGGATGTCTTCCTCTGGGCCTCCTTGACCAATAGCCCTCTTCCTGCCTCTTCACAGTGCTTTGCCTCTGTGCATTTGCTCCCTGGCATCTCTGTGTGCTAATCTTTCATTATTATAAAGACACTCATCATGGGTTAGGACCCAGCCCAACTACCTCAGTTTAACATAATTCTTCTTTAAAAGCCAAAGAGCTAAGAATTTTAAGATGTGCCACCAACACTGGGAAAGCAAAGACAGGAGGGCCCTTAGGCTTGGCTGTCTAGCCAGTCTAGCCTACTTGGTGAATCGAAGGGTAGTTTAAAAAAAATAAAATAAAATAAAAAGTGACCCATATCCTGAGGACCACACCGGAGATTGTGCTCTCCAGAGGCACAGGTAAAAGCACCTGTACACACACAAACAAACATAGGCACACACTCAGCGGGTTAGATTATTTCTAGCACCCATCAACACCAAACAAAGAAGGAAAACAGCTGAACTAGTTCATGGTTAAAGAGAGCACAGTATTTAGAATTAACCCAGGTAGTTTTCACCTACCGAAAAGATCGGTCAATGATTGTTATTATATCTCCATGCTTCAGCTGCACAGGCTCATCTATAGTAGTCCCATTTACTTGCGTTGGATTTGTGGAACTGAAATTATACAATATTGCCTACGAGTGGAGAGGAGAGGAAAATACTAAGGATTTGCTTAAAATCAAATTTAAAAGCTTTAAAAGTTGATTTCCAAAACCCACTTACCTCCTGCTCATTGATTTCAATTTTGCAATGCTTTTTTGACACCACAGGCAGTTGGATACGAATGTCACATTCAATACTCCTTAATAATAATAATAAAATAAGGATTTTATGGGGATGTGCAAAAAAAAAATCAAAAACAAAAAAACAACAACAACAACAAAACCCAACCAACCTCAAATTTAAAAAGCAACAGAATTTGACTAATATGCTTAGACTATAAAGTGTAATGATGCAATACAGCCTAAGAAGCCATAAAATATTATTAAAACTTCTAATACCTTGGAATTATTATAAAACACTAGAACTCATAATCAATTACCTTTCATATACACAGCTATATTAGACAGATGGTGGAGATGCACCCCTTTCATCCCAGCACTGGGGAGGCAGAAGCAGAAGGACCTTTAAGTTCAAGGCCAGCCTGGTCTACATAGAGCTAGTTCCAGAACAGCCAAAGCTACAAAGAGAAACCCTGTCTCAAACAACCAAAACCAAAACAAACAAATAAAACAGCTATACTTACAAGACACAAATAATGGAGTACTTTATTATCAGCTTAGGAGAACTTTATAATTAATGTGTTTACAATAATAATGGATGTATGTAAGGACACAGAAAAGTACTAGCATAAAAGATGCCGTAGGTAATTAGGGACAGAGTTTCTTCATACACAAAACGTCTATACTAGCACCTATGTTGCTATTCAATTACAGTTGTATGTATGCCAGTTGTGTGGCACGCAGTATCCATGTGACCTTTTCACTGCTGTTTTAAAACTGCACCATGTTAACAGATTCAAATGTCCTCACATTGCAAAGATTAATCCACCAGGCAATGAAAAACAGTATCTAGATTAGAACTATCTTTCTAGAAAGCTAGCACTGTGGTGGCATAGCACAGAAAGGACAATTCCTTACCCATCCACAAACAAGGAGTTTCACAGATAGCTCTATTCTGAACTTTAAAACTTTAAAGGCCTAGGCCAGGCAGTGGTGGTGCCTGAAAATATATACTGTCTGTCCTATGAACCTCTAGAGAACTGGTTCTCAACCTTCCTAAGCTGTGATACTTTAATACGGTTCCTCATGTTGTGATGAACCCAAGCATAAAATTATTTTGTTGCTACATCATAACTAATTTCGCTGTTATAAATCATAATGTAAATATCGGTGTTTTTTTGATAGTCTTTGGGTGGGGGTCACAAATCACAGGTTGAGAATGCTGCTCAGGAGTCTAAGCATGTCACTTCCTATAAATACCACACTAATTGTTTTCTAAATTTTTAAAACTTGCAGAAAGTATATTTAATTAATATTTCAGAATAGTAAAACGAATGACACTTGGACAAGATTTTTTTTTTCTTTTGAACAACAACAAAAATAAAGGTACAAAAAGTGACAGCATCCTTACTCTCAAAAAAATGTAGGCTTTGGGTATCAAAATACCAGGCAGAGAGACTATATCTTAAACCAGAAAAGATCACTACAGTCCATACTTCTTAACCAAAATGCCAGACATTCTGGGCCACAGAATTCCTCAAAGGCCTGTTCTCTGTCAAACACACCATGTCTCTCTCCTCCACTCAGTGACACTAGCTATAGTCACCTCTCTCAGGGTGACAGGAAAAGATGTCTCCAGGCTTTGCCAAATATCTCCCTGAGAACTACCATTCTCGCCTGACCCCCAAATCCAAATCTCCATCTTCCGGCTGGACACTCACCCTATGCCACACACTGACTGATCTTATCTATCAGGCACCATATGGGACCCTAGGGGTGTAATCATTAACAAGACAGCCCTTGCCTTGGAGCTTAGTCTATTGGGAAACAGACAAATAAAAGCCTGAAAACTAGTTACCAACCTTCATGGTGTTAGGAAAGACCAACTTTCTTTAAAAGCACCTTCACGGGTAACATTTTAAAATCGGCAGAACGGGCGATAAGGGACAAACTTGGCAAAAAGTGGCAATGCAAGCAACCGCCTGGAAGGCCTCGGGGAAGAGGATTATTATTCCGACCCACAGGGGAAGAGATGGGGGTAATTCTCCTAGAGCTCCGGAGCAGGGCTGTCCTGTGTTTTCACAAACACCCTGAGCCGCCCCCGGCTGCCTCAGAGCGACAGCGCCGGGAGCGGCTGGACACCGAAGTCAGCTTGGCGCCTACCAAGTGCAAAAGCCAGGTTCCATCTGGGAAGCCGGCAGTACGTGAGCACGACTCCCGAATACCCTCCAGGGTCAGCCCCGCCAAGCGCGACAGGGCCGCGTCTCGGGGTCACCCAGGTCCCACCGCGCGCTCACCTTCCGAACAGGCAGGAGCTGAGGCTCAGCGGGAAGTGTGCGCCGTCGCCGCCGCTCCGCTTGATGGTGACCAGGCGAGCAGAGGACGCCATGGTCCGCCCGGCCGTCAGTCTGAGGCCGAGTGGCCTCTCGGTGAAGCTCGCTCTGCCCCACGCCGCGGCCGCAGCTATCCCGGTCCAGTCCGCGTCAGAGCCGTCGGCTCCTCCGCCGCGGCGGCCTCACCACGGCCACCCGCGTCCTTCGCTCCGCCCCGACCCGCACACCGCCACCCGCGTCCCAGATGCCCGCCGCCCGCCGCCCTCCTGCCCGCGACCCGAGTGCCTCCTCCCAAGGCAGTTCCGCGCCAAGGCTGCCCGCCGCGCCCGCCCGCCCGATTCAAACGAAAACGGCGGTTCAAATTCTGGCGCTAAGTGCTGTGATTGGACCAGACGGCGCAGCGAGAGACCAATGGGAAGGGTGACATAGGAGGAGGCGGGACCGGAGGTGGAGCCAGGCTGAGGGCCGGTGGGTGGAGCGGAGCCGGATAGGTGGGCGGGGCCAAGATACCTGTTTACCCCCCCCCCCCAGCGGGGGTCAGCCTTAGACCGGGTCAGGAAGGCGGACGGGGCTGGTGGGCGGGGTCCCGCCTCCGGTGGGCGGGACAGAAGGCTCAGCCCTTTAGCACCAGGGAGAGCTGTAAAAAAAAAAAAAAAAAAAAAAGAAAGAAAGAAAGAAAGCCACCTATAGGCTCCCTCCAAACAGGGGCAACACCGTGTCTTGCTTAGAGTTAGGAGCTTTACGTTTTTTAAATTAAAACTCTTCCTCTACAGTTTCTGCATCGCCTCAAATATAACCAGAAGTTGTTTCTCCTTCCGCTTCAGTGTCAACCATTTTGTTGTTTCAGACATGGGGAAGATCATTGCTTTCATCCTACAGCCAGTCTCCCTTTCTGCTTAGGGAACGATGAGGTGGTGGCACTATGTTTAGGAAACCATAACTTAACGTTACTACTGCAGCACAGTTAAGTTTGGAAATGCTTTGTTGTTGAGGGGGGTTATCAATGACAATTAAGATAAGCTTTGCAAGACTACACCTGTAAATCCTAAAATAGGGATCCTAGGGTTTTCTGAGGCCAGGTGCCAGTGACGTGAATGTAGAATGTCCATGCCTTTTGTGTCCCTTTTTCATCCCCCCCCTTCTGTTTCTGAATCTGGACCAGTGTTCTCCCAGTACGGTGTTGTGAAAATTCCGCACCTGGGGAGATATAAACAATGTCTGCCCTCTTCTCATAATGTCCCAAGAACAAACCTAAAATATGATTCCTCCAAAGTTCACTGTGGGGAATCAGTGAGTATTAGACCACCCTGACCCAGAGGGATCAGTTATGCATACCTCTTGGACTCTAAACCTAAGCCTTTGATCAGGTTTATATTTATCTAATATATTTAGGGTGTCATTGAGCCTCTTTGTTCCACTTCACAGTGGGGCCACCTTGAATAAATCTCCTTGTTCTGCTTTTCACTGTACCTGCCTCTTTAATTAGTCTATTGAGAATGAGGGACACAAGAGTCTAAGCTCTACTCTAACCACTTAGGCATTACTTTCTCATCCCCAAATCTAAGCAGTGCACCTAATAAGACCTAATAAGGGCATCTCACACTTTCATTTACCAAAGCAACTGCTCATATATAATTATGACTTTATTGTGAAGGTGTGTGTGTGTGTGTGTGTGTGTGTGTGTGTGTCTGATTATGTGGATATGAATTTGGGTGCCTGTGGAGGTCAGAAGAGAGCATTAGATCCCTTGGAGCTAGAGTTACATACAGGCAGTTGTGAGCCACCTGCAGTACCTGCTGGGACCTGAACTTAGGTCCTCTGCAAGAGCAGTGAGACCTTTTAACCACTGTGCCATCTCTCTAGCCCTCAGCTCATATATTTTAATTGCTTTTTAAACCATATTTAAATGGTAAGCTTTATGCTTTGTTTTAAATTATAGCCTTGGGGAATGTAACTTTAAAGACCATGGTGTCTTAGTTACTTTTTCTATTGCTGTGACAAAACGCAATGATCAAAGCAGCTTAAAAACAAACAAACTTTTAACTTGGAGCTCATAGTTCCAGAGGATTAGGGTCCATGGTCATCATGGTATAGAGCTTGGCAGCAGGCAGGTACACAGGCAGGACCCTGAAGAAGCAGCTGTGAGCTTATATCTGATCCACAGACACAAAGCAGAAAAAGAAAGACAGCTAACTCAGGATGGAGTGGACAATGTAAATCTCAAAGTCCACCCCAGTGACAAAGTCCCCCAACAAGGACATGCCTCCTAACCCTTCCCACACAGTTCCACCAAACTGGGGACCAAGCATTCAAATATATGAGCTCATCGGGGGGCATACCATTCAAAAACCCAACCACAGGACCATAAAAAGCCATTGTAAAGACTCCTAAGCATTGTAAAAACACCCCATTTCCTCTTCCTCATTCTTCACTTTAAAGCATATGCTTCCCCAATTTTCAGCCCTCTAGCTTTGCTTCACTCTGGCTCATCCTGAAATTCTTTTCAGCACTATAATCAAGGAAGGAAGGAGGGCCCTGGAGGCAAGGACCACACACTCCTGGGCTGCTGACTGTAGTGCTGGGCTCTGCCTTCTCAACACTGCTGACACCTGAACCAATCAAGGGGGCATGTGAAACCCCACCTCATCCCTATCTCCCCATCACTGTCACTGAGCCCCCTTCAGCTTTCCCTTTCCAGTGGAGACAAAGATTTTATAGTGAATGTAAGATAGAGGGATGGAGTCAGGGAATCAGCCTATTGGGCCACTGGAAGACTGGGGTCCAGATACGTGAGTCCAGGACCTGCACAGAGGCTGACTGTCTTCAGTGTCCTGATGGTGCATCTCTCCCAGCACCTCTCAACCCCACCATTCCCCCAGCCCCACACCTCCCACCCCCCTCACCCCCTGCCACTGCCCCATTGCTTTCTTCTTGGCCCAAACTGCCTGCTGCCCCAGGATGCATGCCCTCTAACAGGGATTCATCCTCACAGTCCAATCCTCTCTTTCACACTACTCCACAGCTCTTTACCAGGTCTGCAAGACTCCTCTCATTAATGCCATATCTCTGTCCCTATCCTGACCCCTGGACCTTTCACATAGCTCTTTGGGAAGCAGGCTCCCCATTAGGGCAAACTTCCCAAGACACAGATGGGACTACATCCCTTGCTTCTCTCAAATTCTTTTCCCATTTCTCCATTCTTGTTGTGTCCGCACTGGAGATGATGATATGCAATCCCAGATGACCTCTGGGGCTCAGCTTGGACTACAGAATGAGCCAGGTCACCTGACCCTCTACCCACCAGCCCTTCTTCCTTCAGAGCTCCTGATTGCTATTACAAGTCTCTGAGTCCTGCTCGGCTCTGAGGCCACACATGATCCTGGGCCTCCTGTTCCCTTGTTGTCTGGTCCCCTCAGTCCATTCCCAGTGCTCAGCCCCTTGCTTCTTCGTGCTGACAGGTGCCAGGCTCTCTGCAGCTCAGAGCTGATGCACTCTGCTCCCCTTTACTCCTTAGGTTGAAAGGCAGCTAGGTTCTCACACTTAGTGGCCTACCTTGGACCAAACAGTCAAGAGACCTCTCCAGAAGGGAGAGTGGGTTAGGGTTAGGGTTCAATGTCATCTTCAGGCCTCCATTTCCATATATATATATATATATATATATATGTATATGTATATGTATATACACACACATATATATCATACTCATGCCATATATATATATATGTGTGTATATATATGTGTATGTGTATATATGGCATGAGTATGATATATATGTGTGTGTATATACATATATATACATATATATATATATATATATATATATATATATATATATATGGCATGAGTATGCCCAAATACCAGCAAACATGCATACACAGTCCTCACATATTGTATACACACTAGTCATGTATGCAATAAATAAAACAAACCTATATAAACAAGTAAATAAAATTGTTTATTTTTTCATTTAGTACTATAAACATTTTATTATTGGTAAATGTTATGGCAATTCTGTTTTCTCCTATTTGAATGCTGGTGGTTTTTCCTAATATTTTATGATTCTGATAAATGCTTTGACGAACATGTTAAGACACAACCTTGTTTCAATATGCAGATCTTAGAGCTTCTGAAACCTAGTCTTTCAGAAAGCAGTATGTACTTCAATTCCCAAACTGCTGTCCTCCCAGGAGGCTGTCCCAGTCTGCCCACCAAGTTCAATGTCTGAGAATATCTGCTTTATACCCGATCTTTTCTTCATTAGCATTTAAAATTCCCTGCTAATTAGTTCAGCCAAAAAGGAGTATCATTTCCATTTGAATTGTTCAAATTAAGATTAAGTTGGGAAAGTTCCCCTTACATATTTAAATGTTTCATCTTTCAGATTTTTGTGTTATTACCTAGTGATTTCTTGCTGACTCAAGGCTCTCCTTGCTCATCTGTCTAGAAACACATCTTTGTTCTCTTTGCTCTGTAGAGCTAGGAATTTACAAGCCAGTCAGAAGGCTGAAGACTAGTGAAAGCCACTTTTCCTGCTGCCTCCAGAAGATACATGTAAGGTTTGGAAACCTGCTAGATCTTTAAGCAAATTCCAAATAGTGAGCCCAAATAAGGCCCTCCTTTGCTTAATGTTGCTTCCTGTCTGGTACTGGTTTCCAAAAACAAGGAAAGTCACTAGTAGAGGGCAGCTCTTGCACTACCCCTCCACAGGGGTGTGTAAGGAGGTGCATCACAGCCACCCCCCTGAAAGGAGACATCAGACCTTTTAAAGAACCAGAATCTGGAAAAACAAAGAGAAAATTCCATGAGGGTGAGAGTTGGGATATTTACATTCCTGAGAATAGATCTTCAACAGTTGTGATCAACACTGGAACAAGTAGCTTGGGCGCCTTTCTAAATTATGTGGTCTCTTTTACTTGACCAGCTTTGGACATGATCCACAACTAATCATCTGTCATTGTAAAAAGGACTGGTGGGATTCCAAGTTTATTGCTGACATTGGTAAAACTCTTTCATTATCATCCTAACCAATGTCTTGCTCTTGAAATACCAGAAATGTCTTTTTAGGAAATGGTAATTTTTC